AAGTTAGCTTCGCTCAGTTGCACTCGCTCAAAGACAAAGCATTCATTTCAAACTTATTAGTGTCACTGGCAATTCTGTTGTTCTTTGACATGTTTCGTTTCACGAATTGTCTCGTCTACATAGTAATTAATTACATGGATAATTTATCTTTGTAGATAGAAGATATTTTTATTAAACTATGTTATATTAAAATCCCATAAAACTTTTTTAGATTTATTATTGCATACCTACCAGCCCTCGTATACATAAAACGACGTTATGGTAAATGAAGTTGTAATTAAAAATAAATATAAATGATTCCATACACTGCAAACTACTTATGCCCGCTATACTAGGTCGCGTGGAAATGTATTGGCAAATAAAAATGCGCCAAGCGATATAGAAGCAACCAGACGTTTCGAGTCTATACAATTCATCGGAAATTTAATTAATGTGCTCCCTTAGTGACCATGTAATAATTCTAAGTGTGGCAGTATATAAAAAGTAAAAAAGCTTTTGTTTGTCCAGAATACAAGTTTTGTAAGTTTTATTTTATTTACATTGTTTTAAAAACATCAAAAATAGACTCGGAAACCGCATCGTAAACTTTGTTCATTTTAAACAATCACCTACTACCGTATCAATGAGTTAGTACCCTTGCGTTTAACTATAAAACATTTAACGGATACATTTACTTTTTTATGACTGTCAACTTTAACGAGACGGGGATAACCATTAAGGATATGCGACGATGTTAAAGAAGTCATAATATGTTCGCAATACATAAAATAAAATAGTTCCTGCTACACATTGAGGGCAGTCGATAGTGTTTTTTAATAACTGGGTGACGTCCCAATTAAAACATACTAATGTTATAAATGCGAAAGTTTAGATGGATGTATAGATGTTTGTTAGAGTTTGTAGCCTAAACGGCTGTACAGATTTCGATGAAATTTGGTATAGACGTAGAGGATAGTCTGGAAGATCACATAGGCTATGCTTTTTTTAAAATTCCCCGCGGACGGAGTCGCGGGCGAAAACTAGTAGTGCTATAAACTGCTGTCGAAACGCTTGAAATAAATAGAAAGAAACAGGTTACCTACTCTTTATCACCATAGAGTTACTATCAAAGTATATTTGTAAATTATCAAAACATCAACCTTCTCTTGTCCTTGGAGGGTCGTCAAAGTTTGTACTGCTCTTCCATACATGTCTATCAGTCGTCATATTTAAATTCAATCCCTTCTTAAGCATAACCTCTCGCTCATAAGTCATCTTTTCTTACTTTCTTTGATCTTCCTCTACTTATGTAATCATTATTTATCCCATAATATGTGTATTTGTAAATTATTTACTGTAATTATCCTTTACTTTGTACGTTATCCTGCCCTATGTGTGGTTGCGTATCAGACATACGTCCTCCAAATCCATCTATCATGAAATATCAGAATTGTTTTTCTAAAGTTTAGTAGGTCATATCACCGTAGGCCGAATATCGACTTATCATCACAGTCTCTGTGTAACCGCTAATCGGTTGCGATATAAACAGACGCGATAACAAGTGAGAAATATTTCACATCAATACGTTGAAACAATATTTTATTCCTATGTTATTGATGAAATTAAAAATGAATATGTCGTAAATAATGTTAGTTTAAAAGATTGGTAAGTTGTTGATAAATATGACCGTTAGCTTCCCGTATGGATTCCGGATTTTGAAGACCATTTGTGTATTTTCGTGAACAAAAGACGATAATAATTACTTGAAAGAAAACGTATTTCAAAAGGTAAAGTTGTTAGTTGGCTAATATAGAAATTAAAGAATATAAATCAACTAGCTTACGTCCGCGTGGTTGTAAAAAAACAACAAAAGTGAGTAGCCTATGTGTTATTTTAGATTATCCTCTAGATCTATACCAAATTTCATCGAAATCCGTTCAGCCGTTTAGGCTACAAACTCTAACAAACATCCATCTTAGCTTTTGCATTTATAATATTAGTATCTATAATTAAAATTGCACCAACAGTTAATATTGCATCTGATTTATTGGTCATAAATCATGTTTTCCCAAATCTATTAAACTCGTAGATGATGGGAGAGAATGGACTTTTACATATAAAAATTGTAGAGCCTATTCGCCGGTTGTTGTCCTTGAATCACCAATAAAACAGCTATCGCGTTTGGTTGCGTATTCTGCTCACGCATGCATCGGTCAAGTTCATTTTACGTAACTCATGGACCCTGTGGCGCGGTAATACGAGCTAATTTGTGATTAAACATTTTAACTTAGGTTCCCACTGATGTAGTTAAAACTTAAGATTTCGACAGAAATACGCTATGGGATTCGATTTTTATATGGCATAAGGTCAAATAATATATTAGGCTGTTCCTAGCCTAGGCTGTTCCTTAAATATGAACTCAACCTTACGTTATAAACTATTACTAGTATAGTATTAACTGTACTATTACTAATCTTTATTACATCTCATTGTATTTAAATTATTATGTCTCTATAGATGTAACGGTAACGAATCATTCAAAAGGTTTCACACGACGGTTTTATTTATTTTATTGTGCGTTCACGTAAAATCTATTGGTTCCCATTTACATATGAATGTTTTTGTTCGGCCTTCACTTACTGGGAGTGTGATTTATCTCACTCATTCATAATTTGTATAGTGCTAATTTTACTTGAATGTCAGAGTATTAACAGTATATTGTACTAGTTGACATTAAGAATTTTGTTTACAGACCAACTAAACGCCTTCCTGTATACACACGTGTTAATTTCCTGGTTTAAAATATTTGTACCACATTTTTTTTAGAAATCAGAACAGTTTTTTTATTTTATGTTAATAGTAATTGATTTTAGTAGCGTAAAGGTTATTGATGTATCTGTGCAACTAATTTGCAGAAACATTTAAGAAAAATAATTTGAATTTCGAATGTTCTATTCACATGTTCTTCTACATCACATTATAAGCTGCCAGTAATTGTGGTATATGACCTTTGTAGTAGAGTACTCTTTGGTTTAGTGGTGCAGGCGGCCCTGCCCGGGGCGTTTGTGCAACGCGGTTGCGTTCACCGGCTCTATAACATTGCGACATCAGCGTACCAAGGAGCGCCGCACCATCGCTCTGGCTTAAGCATTTGAACTTCCACATCAATGATTCATGCCTTTTAATTGTACATATATTATGTTAAAAAAAAAAAAATAATCTACCTGATACAGGTCGTCACTCAAGCCGTCTACAGCATTTAAAAAGGTGCATGCAAGAACATAGCGTGGAGAAATCGTAATGCAATTGTAACAAACTCTTACAACATTAGATAGTGATATTACTAGACAAGAGAGATGTACCAACTTTCAAACGTCAAAGATAGCAATCATATTTGTGATCGTTACGCTCTATTCCTGTACATATTTCAAAACTTGTAGTAATGTTTTTTCTGTCGTCATGTGCCGCGTAAAATTAATGAAACAGAGGAGTCATAGTAACTTACAAACCGACACTGAAGAGTTACACGCAATCGTTGAACCAGTATAGAAGTCTCTAGAACTATAGAGGTTATAGAGAGATGTTAATTAATCTCAATAATGAAAACAAAATACATTCAACATCTTACGGTAGGATTCCACTATCATGACCTTGCGACATTTATGTTGATACTAGCTTTCGCCAGCGTCTCCGTCCGCGTGGAATCAAAACAAAACTAAAGCAAGTAGCCTATGTTTTAATCCAGACTATCGTCTACGTCTATGCCTAATTTTATCGAGATCCGTATAACCGTTTAGACTTCAAACTGTAACAAACATCCATCCACCTAAATTTTCGAATTCATAATATTAGAATGATGTTTTGTTTTATTTTTGTTCAAAATAATTGAAAAGGATGGCGATATATCTGACAAGTTCTTCGACAGTTAAATTTTGATAACAAATAATCAATAAATTATTGCCGCCACTGTCTTCCTTCATACATATTTATAAGCAACTGTCAGAGTACCAAACACGAAATCAATCTATCTTTTTTTATTAAGTGTCGGCAAACAGATGAAGACTATTTTACACGTTATTTATTCCTTTTTATTTGGTTTTTAATATTTTATAAAGGTTTATCGAGAACTTATTTGGATAGCCTGACTTCTTAATAAAAATCACCGAATTTTATGTGTACATAGTTTGTTTTTGTTTTTCTTAACCTAGCGATTTGCACATAAACATCGTCGGATTCTATTACTAAAAAATCTTCGTAATAACTTACTAGTGCAGATTTGTCATCAAGTAAGACATATACGTCAGTTTTTTGTAGGAGTTTCGGAAATTGCGGCCCACGGTTATTATGCCACACCGAGATAAGCACATGTCAAAGGCTGCAAATAATGTTGAATGTGCTAATCGTGTTATTGTCGCATTAGCAGCTATGTTTGTAAATCGCCCTACATTCTGTAATCTACTTAGGGTTCAGCATCACACAATTTTGTTAGAGTGAATGACGTTTCTTTTTAATTATTACTCTTTGTTATAAAATAATAAGGATATTAGGACCCAGAAGGTTGTTAGAAAATAGACACTAGTTTACTTTTAAACTAAAATAAAAATATTTTTTTTTCTTCGTTCGTTTAGATTTTTTTAATGCACGCTTTTTATTTAGCTGGTATTTAACTTATAAAATTGAAGATAACCTAATGTATAATAACTAAAATTCTCTTACATTAGGTAGTTTGGCGGAGTGAACTGATTCTGTGATGAAACTCACGTCAAAAACTAACTACATTGATTATTGAAATATAACTCTATTTTGTTATTAACATAATTATTACGGAACCCTTCATGTCAGTCACGTCACACGTAGCTAACAATCAAATAAATTTAATGAATACTGTTTTAACACATTTAAATTACTAAATAATTGCAATTATGCAATATAAATGTGTAATTTAAGCAATTTGTTAGATTCAGTTATATACGTCGTGCGCATTTAAATATTTTAGTAACAATTATCTTCTTTACTTACAGGTACAAACGAGAAAACAAGTGTTAGAAGTAATAGAGTAATGCTCAATAATATAAAACTTAATTTTAAAATAAATACGAATTAATAAACTAATAAAATGTCGACTGAGAGAGAAGAAACCCAAGAATACATCAATGGCATGAGACCCGGTCCTTTGACTAGAGAAATACCAGAATGCATGAGGGACAAATATACAATAGTGCAAACGATTTTGGACGTTATAGCATTTTGGATGTTATTAGCTGGTTATGTAATTACGGGGATATACAGGGCGATAGTTGGATATCCGAAAAAGGAACTCAAAGATAGTATAGCAGTGGTGACAGGCGGAGGAGGAGGTCTGGGTAGTTTGGTGGCTTTAAGATTGGCGAGGCTCGGGTGCACCGTCGTTTTATGGGATATCAACAAACAAGGTCAGTATAGCACAAGTTAATGCAACATTAATATGGTAATTATCCTATGTTATGCTTCATCATGCACTATGATTGGGACTATATTTTTTATTAATAATATTTATTATTTTTATTAAATCTTTATAACCACTGGTCGGAAATTCCTCGTAATTTATTAAATGACTGTTACATTTATCAGATTGGAAACAAGTAGTCTAAACGAGAAAAAATGTTTTCAGATACAACTTAAACACGTTTTAAATTCTAGATTGTTGATGTGCAAAAAAAAGATATTAATTTTGTTGAAATTCATACGAAAAACAGTGAACCATAATTGGACTCCGGAGTTTTCCATGGAACCGTCTTTAAATATAAATGTTCAAAATTGTACACAACCTTCCATCCATGTTGTGATTGTCAAGTAATTTTTGCACCGTTTATCTTACATAATTTTGTCATTATTTTTATTTTTTCATTTCGTTTTTTTCGTTGCTAGTATCGTCTTTGGTCAATGTTAAATAGTTATAAAAATATGTTAATTCTGTTCAGTCACATCTTGCTTTTCTATATAAGTCAGTGTCTGATTTAAACAGAATCTTTTTCACGCGTATGCCTGTCTGATATGACATCATAATACCCTAAATGACTAAGCCAAAACGGGATAAACGGCTTTTTTGATCAGTGATAGCTTGATGGTATATAACAGTTCATGAAGTCTTGTTAAATGTTACTTCAATAATCTATGTCTGTAATTAGTTTTGTTCTGCTTACTTAAACTTTCATTGTTGCTTTAACGTTTATTGTCAAAAAAGTTTTTGTTCAATTCTACATTGTTAGGTGCATAATGAGTTGATCATCAACGTTGTCAAATTCAAGGTTTTTGGCGCAGGTTTCGCGAATTCATGGTCAATTACGAAACTTGAAAAATACATATCTGCATTTTCGTTTATTAAAACATTTTAAACTAACCTTAACTTTATGCTAGTTTTAATGATATTTTTAACTATTTGAAAAGTATTGAGTGTTTTTAAAAACGAACTACTATCGAGTCTGTTGTAAAAAGGTTATTTTTAAATGTCTCATTTAAAGTTTTTACAAGAAACTCATGAACTAAGTCAGAAATACCACGATAATAAAGTGATATGACGGAAGCTATGATGGATACTCTACACTGACCACAACAGCGCGATTGTTCTAGGGATGGGTCGTTGACAGTTTTGGCGTCAACGAAACGATTTAGATTAACTAGTTGATGTTGTTAATTAAGTAGGAAATATTACAAATCATGTCAAGAAAAAAGGACAACCAGAAATTTCTATATAAATTCCGGTTAAATTCAACTGGTTGAATGAAAAACGGTCGTTGAAGCGTTGTGTGTTCAACTGTTTAAATAGTTCGTTGTACAACTTCCAACCCTAGTGTTCGCTGTGGAAATAATTGCGACACATTTAGAAGATATTCCGCTTATTGCTGTACGCTGTGTGAAGACATAGTAATGGTAATCGTTTACCAACTATGAGTATATTGTACACGGCCTGTATTGCAAATACTCCGAAGCACGATGGAAGCGATTTTATAGTGTGAGGCGTTCGGTTCCTATTTTTCCCATCCCTGTCAAAGGTCATCCTAAAAGATGATGAAGATTAAAATACGTTGCCAGCATCGTTGTTGGTACATTTTACCGAATTTAGTAGGAATTGCTATGTCCTCGCTTACATCTTTATACTAATTCAGTCGTAATAGACTAAATACATTTCAGACACGTGCATTAAAATAAAAATTAATGTATATTTAATTTGCGAATGTTCAGCTTTGAATAATCAATATGCCATTACGCGAATACGAACAGGATTAAGGTTAATTGACATTGAATGATTTTTAATGACATACATTTATACTTTTAAAATCATTACATCTAACCTCTTACCATCAATCATAAAAATTAACCCATATGAAACAGGATACAGGGAAATATGTACTAAATCTTTTAACATTTTGTAGCTGTTACCATAACTTTGACTTCTCTCTTCCCACCCACTGGGGGTCTGTTTACAAGTTTTTATAAACCTTAGTTTTTACGGCCTACTTCTTGTCTACCGCCAATCCTACATCGTCTGTATTAATTGGCCAAATTCTATTAAAAGCTATGTACTAGCTATTTATAAAAGGTATAATCAAAGGGTTTTAAGTATGGCTTCAATGCAGTTTAATTATATAACGGTTAAGCGACTTTAACTACCTTTAATTAATGTTAGTGAATCTAAAATGTCGTAAAACTGAAGTAAATAATAAAGTAAAGCAATTACAGCAATGTTTATCATAGTCATTGTGCGCATTCCGTGCTTTGTGAAACTCCCATAACAATTGCGAAACCCAACTAATTTACGGCAACACCAATATGACATGACTAGCTGTTCCCATGCGACTTTATCCGCATAAAATTATAAAAATGTAATTTTATACACATTTGTCAAATTATCAATAGCAAATGTCAAGTTGACATGACATGACAAAACTTGGCAATCGTGCTTCCTTGATGTTGACAGCCACTTATGATCTCTTTCCCACATTAAGGTTTTTATCTAAAATATTTACCCCCTAAGTTTAATGGCGTGAAATTATATAGCCTAAAGCATGACGTAAGTGTAGGGCTTTTTATTAAAAAAATAATTATTTAAAAATATGCTGTAATTGCTGACATCTTAGGCAACAAAGAAGTGTGTGTTTACGTTTTATTATAATAGTATAGATTCTATTTAATCTTATATTTCGTTTTGTTTTAAGAAATAATACTGTGCGAGTGTCGATTGTTTCGCAGCCAATTCCACTGTTTAGTTGCACTGTTAGAAATCGAGTAGTGTGCACACCACCATATAAGCTCATAGGAATTAAAGCGAGACTGAACAGTTGTGCGATAGTTTAGTCTAAGGTGTGCGCGCTCTAATACGAGTATTACAAAAGAACTTTTACTTTCAGTACTGAAATGAAATAATTCAAGCATACCACAGATGTTGCTCTATGCATTGTGTAAAGGTTATGATACTTCACGTGTAATTTGATTCAGTAATCTAGATATTTTCGAAACCTGGCATTGTTCAATGTTCTTGTTAACATATCCGTTGTGTAAAAATTTAATTACAACCTTGTATTATTGCGTATATGTGTGCAATATTGATGAAAACTTTATTACTGCGCTGGAATTACACACAGAAATAATACATGGAATGTCAATCGTTAAACTTAGACTGTATTACCCAAAAGAGTAGTAATATTTCTGTTTACTAATAGAAATCTTACTACTCTTTGTTGTTAAAAATGTTAAAAAATTATATTTTACGATATTACTATTATAGTAATCATAGTAATTTTTTGTGATATAAGTTGAAACCAAGATTTACGCACGTTTTACAATTTGGTGCAAGAATGAGATGGATGGATTGCGTGAAAGGGGACATGAATCAAAAAGAGAGTGATGACTGAGGTGACGTATGATAGAGTTATGTGGAGGACAAAAACCCGTTGCACCTACCCTACGGGAGTAGGATGAGGAGGAGGATGATGATGCAAAGAATCTAATATATGTAGTAGGTGAAACCGCGAATGAGTAGCTAATATTTTTCAATGATAGTCTCTTGTTAAATTTTTGCTGTATTTACATACATTGCAGTGTCATTATGTTTCGAAAACTATTGCATTGATGGTTTCAGCAACAAACTTCGACATGTTTAATTATTCTTCAACCTGTTTTGCTTATCAACTCTAACGTGTATTTATCAACTGCGACATGTTCAATTTAAAACATCGTAAGTAATTGATCTCCAAACACGGAAAAGAATTTTGATCGTAGTTTTTTATTGTATTATCTTTATATGTAGAATTCAAATTAAAATATTTTTTTATTACGACAATCTTACTAATATTATAATATAAATGTGAAAGTTTAGATGGATGGTTGGATGTTTGTTTGAGTTTGTAGGCTAAACGGCTGAACGGATCTCGATGAAATTTGGCATAGATGTAGAATATAGTTTGGAAGAACACATAGGCTATTCACTTTTATATTTTTCAATACCACGCGGACGGAGTCGCGGGCGAAAGCTAGCAGTATAATATATGGGACTAAACCATCAATTCATGTTATATAAATTATATTTAAATATAAATAACTAGGCTTGGCGAGCGGTTTTGTCCTCTCGGAATAAACTATAAAGCCATTGTAAACATCCATCCAGCCAAACTTTCAAATTTATTACATCAAAGTATGAAGTATGATTTACTTAAAGTGTGTTTCCATTCTCACTAACACCCGTACTATAATATATTTGCTATTTCATCTTTTTCAAAGAGTATGAAAGGAATGACAATAAGTTTGAGCATTGGAAAGTGCTCGTAAGTTATGACACATGATACTGATCACTACATTGTTCAGTTCAATAAAGCCTTAAGCATTCACACGGTCCATCCCACTTAAGGTGCGTACTGATTGACGTTACGCGGTGTAATATAACACAGCAGGAAGATGTAGCCAGTTCGTAGTGTAACGAGAAAAGCAGCGTTTGATGCAAAATACATCGAAAAGTCAGTCAGTACCCACCTTTAGATGACGGTACTTCAATGTAAAAGATTATCTATACGTATTTTCATACTTAAGTATTCAAAATAATACGTTAAAACAAGTTATTTGTCGCTATGGTTACGGAGAAAACTTTAATGGCCGTTTCTATTTAATGTTGGCGTGTAAACATCTTAAAATTCCTACTATTTGTAGCCAGCGGAGTAAATGTTGGGCTCAATTTCTACACAAATAGATAACACTTTTACATACTGTATTGTATAGTAGTAAATGGTATGAATAGTTGTTAATTGGTAAAAAACAAAAGGCAAACAATAAAATCGGACACGAAACATGCTGTGAAAAGACTAAGCACTAATTATTTAAAAAATGAATTAATCGTTTGCAGAAATAATTGTAAGACTAGATAATCCTTCGCTAAGAACAATGATAGATGTGTTCATATACATTTATATACCGCATTAAACACAATAGCATAAACGATCCGCGAGATCAAAAACTATGTTATTATCGTGATGTGGTTCGAGATTGTCGTTACATCAATTGCCTGTAATAACTTCATGCTTTGTTTTATTACTACTATTACCTCTATACAATAAATGGGAATGATGCTGCATTTAAACATGCTTTTATTCAGATACTGATTAACGTTACGAGGTGTAACATTCGATCCAAGGGCTCGTTATTCGCTGGTATTAACCACATGAATGCTCGCCGTGTAACCTGTGGCTGCACATCGTAACATCGATTAGAACGCATCATATAAAGACTTTATTCAGAGACAATCATCGTCTAGAATTTACATTCAAAAAAAGTTTTATAATTTCATATCTAAATAACACATAATGAAAGACACAAAATATTTCTGGTTACGCTCAGGATTCTGGGTACGGTCATTTTAACATAATTCGTTAGTGCACATCTGTAATGCAAAAAAGTATATCTTTGTCCTTGTGCTCGTTATAAAAGAACTGAAGGTCACATTTTTATTTTTCATGACCATTTCAATATACCTTTTTAATTCGATATCCATACCTGGTCAGTCCCAATCCCAACTAATGTGAATTAATTAACATTAACTAACGTCAAAGGTTAAATTATATTTTTCGCCGTCATCATCTTTTTTTTAATATATGAAATATATGTTTGGAAATCGTATTGTCTATATTAATGCGTAAACACTCACTTCTTTGTTGCCTGAGATTTCAGCAATTATACCACATTTTTTAATAATTATTTTTATAATAAAAAGCCCTATACTTACGTCACGCTTTAGGCTATATATTTTCACGCCATTAAACTTAGAGGGTAAATAAATTGTTTATTGATAATATGGAGAAAGAGCTTAGCAAGTCTGTCAAGTCTCAACAATGAAAATAAAATTCTTTGCCACATCAATAAGTTTTAAATCTCAACGATGCGAATGGTATCTCCATTGTTGGCAACTTCCATAAGCTATTTTTCTAAATCTGACTATCCCTGCATCCATTATTTTATCACTACTTTGTACTATCAAATGAAAATTCGTTTTCGCCGACCTTTCTCATACAAGTGCAAACATTACGATGACAGTAATAAATGAAACATTATCTGTGTATATTGGGACAGTTGAATAAACTACATTGCCTATGGACAAGACCTGTTCAAACATTTACGCTCTCAAAGCATCAACATCTTAAGCATACGAGTACGTACAGAGTACGTAAAACAAATTGTGTTTAAGATACATCAAGACCGTTGAAAATTAACAGTTACATTTTGATGAAATAAGGAATGTTTGCTTAGATTTTTAAAGAAAAGTGTGATAACTCTGAACGATTGAGCAAAATTCGGAAAAAAACTGGGACCAAATAACATAAACATCAGAATATGAACATGTTCTCTTTGCTGTTTCATAGATAGATTATTTTCTTAACTATAACGATCAAAGGTCGTCGGCTCTACGTGGTACTTTCCCAAATACCTTACCTATAATTTTCTATGATTATAAGCACTGTCAATATCGATTGTACGAACAATCCGGTCCACGTATCTCACTGCAATTTGACGATCTGAATACCAATGAACCTTTCTCTAAATCGAAACCACAGACTAAAAAATATAAAAATATAAACGCAATATTAATTACTTGGCAAAATTTAAATGCACCAATGACGTCTTTGGTGGCCGGTTTCGAGTGCTTTGCAAGTGCTACCTGGCATTGAACTGAGCAAACGTCAAAAGAGCGGTCAAGGACCTTTGGATTTGAGTGTTTTTCCGAATTAGGCACATCTCTGACGGTTGGGAGGGATATGGAGACTTCTTTTGGATGCTTTTTTTCTTCCTTTTAGTTGACTTTCAACCCGGCGCTATTTTAATAATTCTTTCTTATATTAAATCGTGTACTTGAGTGTATAGCTGCTCGAATAATGCAGTTAGTTGAGTTTTTTGTATACTTTTCTGTAAACTAGAGTAGCATAAAACTTGAGAACAAAATATTTGAACACCTCATTTCCTCAAAACATTTCGACGCAAATGAAGACGTGGAAAGCGTCTAGATGTACACATTGTTTCAAAAACAACCACCATTACGAATACGATAGGAGCCGAAGCCTGTAAATTGAATAAACAATCGACTGTAATGCTGCCATGAAACTGAAACTACCAAACAATAGCAGTCAAGGTAAACTGGATACTGGTGTTTACGCAACAGAATATCGTTTACACTGAATCAAGTGTAATCGGCCAAGTACTCGACTATTTAAAGTGTACAAAGAACTCACGTCGCGGACAAAAGCTAGTTTATTATAGTATGTTTTTAATATAAAGATATATGGATTTTTGTATATATTTAAATAACTTAACAACTAGTGGACCGATTTAAAATATTCTTAGACCATTCAACAGCTATGTTATCACTGAGTTACATAGCCTATATTTTTTTACTATTTTTTTAATTCCACGCGGAGGAAGTCGCGAGCAACAATTAGTCTGATATAAACAAAGCATTAAAGAATATTTTCTTTATTTGAATTCTAGAGAAACAAATGAACGTGAGTTTTCTTCATGATAACATCTACGTGTTTAAAAGAGTTGGTAACTCAACTGATGGAATAGTTTTTTATATCTTGTATTTACTTGTTTATGTAATAAAATACCAGAGTGCATAATTATAATAAATCAATATTTATAAAGATATACATATTAAACGATTTGCTCGTGATGGTCACTAAAACATGCATAAACCAAGGTCTGAGTGACTAGTGTTATCAAATAAATATTAATAAGAAACAGCGTATTACTTATTTGATAACTTACAAAAACTTTAATATTAATGATTTAAATGACCGTCTTTGCTTTGTCCGATAAAATCAAGATTTGTTAGAAGCTGGTGAATTATTATTTAAAAAAAAAACCCCTTTCAAATAAATATGTTTTAAATATTTATGCTCCTAGTATGGAGTCTGGAGTACAAAGATGATTACTTAATTTCTTCTTAATTCTTTTCCTTAGTGTTTTATTAAATTTAATTAAATACCTGTATATAACTTTTTGGAATATATACAAAGTCGTTAAAACTTCGCACAGCCGCTATCCTCGTCATTTTGCAGTCATCATTCTTGTTTTTCGACGGCCCGTTACTTTCACAGCCAGTTTACTTGGAACTTTTTATAAGTAAATATCTTTTTGGACTCACGCATGTCTCATAATGGTCAATGCCAACAACCTTATTATGTCTTACGTGATGGAGTCAAGCTACTTACGATAAAATTATTTAATATACGATTAATTCAATGTCTCCTTAAAATCTAGCCGTACAAATCTTACTTGATATTATAAATGCGAAAGTTTAGATGAATGTTTGTTAGAGTTAGTAGCCTAAACAGCTGAACGGACCTCGATTTGGGATAAACGTAGAGGATACTCTGGAAGAAAACATAGGCTATTTTTCTTTTCACTTTTCTTTTTTTTTTAATACACGCGGACGAAGTCGCGAGCGAAAGCTAGTTATAGACTGTAATTTATAAACTGTAATTATTTGAATAAGTTTTAACAAATGAAATCAAAATTTACTAAACCTATTAGCAATGAGAACTCTACATTTCCCTAAGTACACTAAGTTATATTAGTAAATATTGTTGCGAAGCTATAACACTATAAATGTAAAATTAAACATTTTTGTTCAGGTTTGGAAGATACAGTGAAACTAGTCAAAGGCATTGGTGGGAAATGCCACGGGTATGTAGTGGACTTGGCCAGTCGGGAGGACATCTACAGAGTCGCAAAGACGGTCCACGAAGAGGTCGGCAGAGTGAGTAATGATTCATATAAATCCAGAAGAACAAAGACTAAAAAATACTGTCACAATACTGGCAGTGTTGAATTAAAAAAAAAACTTATGAGTTAGATGATGAGTTAGATGGCTTGCGGTTCTAATTTACTCAAGTCATTATCTTTTTTTTCTGTTTTAACACTGATTCTGATTAATATCTATTTATGGCTTGACGTGTGCGTTCAATGTCCATTTGTTACCTATTTCAGTATGTACCCACCTTTTTGTACAAGTTTTTAAGACTACAACTAAATAACAAATGACTTTACGTTTATTTGAACCGGTCACAAGTTAATACTCTGAGCTCAGACCTCATTGGTTTAACCCGGGAAATTTGGCTTATATGGTGCAAAAAGTAGATTCATGTTATGATTGCATTTTTTTTAATATATCTTCAATCAATTACTACATACTTGTAGTTTACTATTTGCAATATTTGACGTAGCACTAATGGTATTTCCTATAATTCTTTTATAATTATTGATTTGCATGAAAAATAGATTTTCACATCTGAGAAATTTATGCCAATAAAATTATCATTACAATGTTTGAATAACAGAAGAGTTAAACTATTTAAATTAATTATTAAAAGAGTATTTTTCCATTACATATTATATGAAAATATTTATAAGATATTATGTAGTTTATAAAACATACGACGTGTAGAATAAACCTCGTTAAATAAACAATTAATGAAACAGTAAGCTATGTTTAATTATAATTCGGAGACTAACGACAATTGATACTAGAAATCCAGGTGTTCTTTCGGTTTACTAACAATTTTTATAAATTCTACAACTGCAACTATTCTTTTAGCCAATGCACAACATCTAACTTAAAACGTTGTTTTTCAAATGATTTACGATTTTATAGTCAATTCGAATAAAGTCGTTTTTCAAAATTTAACCGTGACTTAAAGTCTGATACAGACAATAATACCATTAGTCTATGGATTTAATCAAGTTACTTTATATCATTGCTTGTTATTGTGTTTAAGCTTTTATTGGAATACATCTCGAACGCGTTTCCCGGAGTTTTATTGGCATTAGTAATCAGAAACAAATTATGAATTACTTTTAATTATGTATTAACAAAATGACTTCCAATGATGTATAGAGATATATTTAATAGAGCCAATAACGTTCTAACATATGCATCATACTAATATTATAAATGCGAGAGTTTAGATGGATGGATAGATGTTTGTTAGAGTTTGTAGCCTTAACGGCTGAACGAATCTTAATGAAATTCGGTGTTTATGTAGAGGATAGTCTGGAAGAACACATAGGCTTCTTCCTTTAATTTTTTTTTTAATCCCAACGGACGGAGTCGCGGGCGAAAGCTAGTATATAATAAGAAAATGTTTGCATAGCATTTCTATTGTAGCACGACGGACGGACAATGCAATACTCATAAAGAAAGAAGTTTTGAAAGGCTCACGAAGTTTCTTAATCAATTATACCCGTTCAATGTAAACGTGCCGCGTAATTATGTTCCGAAGATGTTACATAAGACACAGATTCCGATAAAATTAAGTTGTCCTTAAGATTTTTAGTAAATTTTCCATTATAATTGTGATAAATTATTTTTAACAACTGATTGCAAATTATAAATTGTTTACCATATGTGACGACCACATATACATTAGTGCTTTGCTTTTAACTAAAAAAAAAACAAAAGAAAAACGATGTGCACAGACTCCATACAGGGTTTTCTTAGTAACGTAAAATTGTACGTAATTTGCAAACCCCTATGGCGAAGACGCAGTAATAGGTATAAGTGTTTTCAAATATCTATATATATATATATATATATATATATATATATATAATATCTTGACCGCTCAGGGCCCTTGTCGTTGTCAGCCCTTTAAGCGCTACAGCTAAAATCGTATTTGTGTACCGAATATCTATCCGAGCTGCCAAGATATTTTGAAAGCTCTATCATCAATACAAGGCAATGTAATTTATATGTTTATCTTCTTATCCAATTTGCATTTGCACGTTTTCTTTGCGTATATGTATACAGCGAAGAGGTAATAAAAACTCATTAGTCATGCTTTATAAATAAATCTTTGGTTAAATAAATGAAATATAATCATAATTATATTTATGCATTTATATTTGCCCAACTAACAGGGTGGAGGGGGTTCGTGGAAATGTATGTACGCATGAATGCGCGTCATACAAAAAACAAGAGAACTCGATTTTAATTTTGTATGCTTGGTTATGAAAAATGTTCTTCCAGGTAAGTTTGCTGATCAACAACGCCGGCGTAGTGTCCGGCCAATACTTACTCGACACGCCAGATCATCTCATCAAGAGGACGTTTGACGTCAATGTGTTAGCTCATTTTTGGGTAAGTTAAATCCTATTGGACAGATATTGGACAAGACAAGTTTTGTTAATTTTTTTATTGACTAGCTGTTGCTCACAACTTCACCGTCGTAAAATTAAGAAATAATAAAAAGCATCGTTTGTTGTATTAACTGATAACGTAACTTTCTAATGGTGAAAGAATTTTGCAAATCGGCCCAGTAGTTTTTGAGTTATTTCAATACATACAAAAATACTAATCTTTCTTCTTTATATTAGTATTAGTATAGACGAAGCAATTAAAAATATAAGCAAATCTTCTCTATTTCCAGACCGTGAAAGCGTTCCTACCTCACATGATTGAACATAACAATGGTCATATAGTTACGATAGCATCAATGGCAGGTCACGTGGGCGTTGCCAAGCTTGTAGACTATTGCTCTTCGAAGTCAGCAGCTTGCGGCTTTGACGAAGCTTTGAGATTGGAACTGGAAGTTCGAGGCATTAAAGGAGTCCATACTTCATTAATCTGCCCGTATTTCATCCGTTCAACAGGCATGTTCGAGGAAGTTAATTCAAGGTAAGTGTTAGTGCTGTCTGCATTTGATTTGGCACGTCAGCTCACAAAGTTCTCTACTGCCTCACTTGCCAACTCAACTGCCGGTACTGAAGTTTGCAATTACAGTTACATTTTAATTTATGAAACAAGGATATAAGTGTTCATATTTTTTTCAACACATAAATATAATATGGCAAATTATTATTTAAATATAAATCTAACGCGACAAAAACTTGTCTTGATTAATTTATAGCGCAAGTTATTACTAGCACTATGTACATAAATTGTGGTTAAAGGTGAAAAATAAATTATAATTTGTTGTTATAATAAACATGTGCTTTATTATAATTGGCGTAGTGTTTGTTACCTACCTGTTACTGTGACATTAAATCATGTTATGATCTTTCAAGGATAATGAAAGACGTAATTGTAAAGCCTTTATTAATATTCCATTATGAACTCATGTACAAAAACGTAAACTATAAAAGTGGATTTGACGGTGGAGAAAACTCATAGGTAGGGGAAATATCCTTTTTATGTGCGTCTCCTCTGTCAATTAAGGATTCGCATCAGAGGATGAATTGGCTACTTGATTGTTTGCCAACTTCTAATATAGAAAAGAGGTACAGTTAGTCGGGCTTATTCGTTGTTTAAATAGTTTGTTTTCCATTATGTATGTCAGGTTCGTGCCGCAGCTGAACTCAAACGAAGTAGCAGACCGAATCGTATTCGCGATCCGCACCAACGAGCCCCTCGCCGTCATACCGGCATACTTCCGGATGCTGCTGCCGTTCAAATGGTAACTTAACGTCCTTAGTATTTCACTTGTTTTCTATTCACTTTAAGTAAAATGTTATATAGTTGCATAGAAAATGAAACTTAAAAAGAAAATCAAAATAGCAGAAGTCATTATCAACTTGCCCTTATCTCCAACATGGGTCGGCACAGTATGCTGCTCTTCCATACATTTTTATCAGCCGTCATATCTGAATCCACTCTCTTCTTAATCATATCCTCTTTCACACAATCTATCCATACTTTCTTCGATCTTCCTCTTGTAGCCATCCACGCTCAATCTCAACACTTTCTGGTTTATATCCCCATCGTCTCGTCGCATAGAAGTGACTATCTTATAAATCTTTTCAATGATTATTATTCCACATAATATATACTGTGGCATCCCTCTTCTGTTTGGTGTTGTACGTTATTTTCTAGAAATATCACAAGAAAAAAATCCTTTCAATCGTCACATGAATAATGAAGATGATCTCTTAGTAACAATATGCTTATGTATGGCTAATTACAATGATTTCCTTTTAACAACATTGTTCTTTGTCTTGTAGTACCTAGCTGTTCTAAATACATAAAGAATAACATAGACGCGCAAGGTTAACAAATATTAATTGCAACTAGAATTAATTTAATTTGCAACAAGGTCTTGATTCTTTGATAAAATTGGTTTCGTTTTTAGTTGCACTTATATTTTGCCAAGTTTAAATGTTAACGTGACATTGTCTGCAAATAAACCTTCACCTAAAATATTATTAATGACTTTATAAGGTCATGTTTTTTTCAAACATTGGCGTTTGTTTTTCTGATTAGAACTAAGTAGCTTTGGCATTTTATGATATAACTATTTATAAATTCATTTTTTAATTTTATCTAATCCTTAAAATATGGCAACATTCTCGTCATTTTCCAACAATTCTTTCAATTTTCAACAATAAGTACGGAATTCTTTGTGTACATTCCAGGTTGGTTCCGTGGCCGTGTGTGTCAGAGATCATCCGCGGTCTGGTTCCAGACGCGGTGCCGGCCCCTGTCGCGTCGCACCGGCCCCAGCTGACCGAAGACTTAGTGCCAACATCGCACAAAGGCAAGCTGGACTCGCGCCCCATGTCGCTAGTGCCGCCGGCACGCCACGACCGTCACGTCTGACGTCACAACATAGCGCCACAAGTGAGGAACTTTGTCAAAATATGGAAACATTGTACCTTTAAAAATATATTAAAAATTAAAATGTGCCTATTCTAAAATTATTGTGATATATCGTTAGAGATTTTATTGCTCTTGACTTCTTATAAGGAAAGTAGTTTGTCAAATATTATAGATTTTTATTCTATTTCTTAGATTTAAAAAAAGCAATATTGTATACTATAAAATGTATTTTTCAAAATCATAACATGATGTGTGTTTAGAAATTAGTTGGAGAATATTTGACAAAGTTCCTTATTGTTCTTAATTTCGGAAGTTCTACTTAATTACTTAATTTGGTTATGGATAGAGTAATCTATAATCAATTGCCATTTGCAAATGATTGTTTCAACTTATTTTTTACAAAAAAAAACAAAAACATTTCTCACTTCTTTGCTCAAAAATTGCTGGTAAAGTAAAAAAAATGTACATTGATACAAAAATTACAATTCTTTTTGTGAGATTGTTTTTTCAAGATTAAAAAAAATATCAAACCTTCTTTTAGATTTCTAAATGAATGTGTTTTATGTAGAGTGTTAAAATGTTATTTTTAATCTTTGGGGAGATTGTCAGAACAATTAACATATTCAAATATTTATGTTAATATTTCTTCCAATCTATATAAGGATGTAATTATATACAGTTATTATTAATTTTAGGTTACTTGCCTAGTTTTTATTAACTTGAGTTAAGTGACATGGACACTGTGGTATTTAGTTAAAATAAGTCCGTGAATGTCCACTGCCGAAAATCAAATATAAAAATAGAGTCGACTTTTTTATTCTCTTTGAATATGTAATTAAAAATAGAAGAAAGAAAGAGATAACAGTATATGGAATGTGTTTCTGCAGTGAATATTGACGAGAAGAATTTCCAGATGTGATGTTTATAAATCTTGAATAAGCCTAACCTTTATTATATCATAAGTATGATTTCTTACAACAAACAGATGCCTTATTCGGTAATTTCCTTCAGTTAAACATTTAATCGTACTAAGAAAAACAAAAAAAAGCGTATCTCGGAATACCAATTAGCCGCCGACCCTTCGGCCGGCCCAGATACCGCTGGCGAGACGCCGTAGAGCTGGACCTGCGCGAGCTAGAGTCGATCGGCTGGCAGGCGACGACGCAGGACAGACGACGCTGGCGCTCTCTCGTGGCCAAGACCCACTTCGGGTCGCTGCGCCAACGCAGTAGTAAGAAAAACAAAAGACTTTTGAATCTATTAAACGATTATGGATAAAATCTTGCTGTACTATTTAAAAGTGAAAAGCATTCATAAAAGTTACCAGTTCATGACTTAGCATTTCTCATAATATAAGCCAATCATTCTTATCTCATAACCCTAAGTAGTCACTCAAATACAATCAAAAGAGGTCAAACATCTAGGCGATATAACGGTGAAAACTCTGCATTGTTTATTTCGAGTTACTTTTAGCTAATACATACTTATATGTACTTTGGTGCAATATATATAGTGTATTATAATTACGGATATAAATGTAACTATATCTAAGTCGGCAACTTTTAGGGCCTGTCCTACCACTGGCTGATAGAGGCTTAGATAGCTTAAAAATGACGTCAATGTCAGATAAGGGAACAAAATCCGATATTTCCATAACAAATTTTACACGTTGAGTTGTTATCAGGCAATTTAATTTGGTGGGACAGGCCTTAAATGTTAACTTGTAATGGTTTATTGTGACATGTAACGGTTTTGTAAATGTTTTATGGCTGTATTACGAGCTCTATATGAAATTTTATAAAGTTTTATTAAACTTGATTAATGTCTTTTATTTATTTACATAGTTGTCCCTATTTATTATTAAGTAATGAAAATAATGCGGTTAATTTTTGGGGTTACCTGAATCCGCCAAAATGGCGAAGAGACCGCTGCCCATAGACATACGCAATTGCAGATGCGCTGCCTACCCTTAATCGACGGAGGAGGAGACGCACATAAATAGGATATTTTCCCTTACTATGTGTCTCCTTCAACGTCAAATCCACGTTCCTTTTCCATCCGATTCTTATGAGAAAAAGGGTGGGAAGGAAAAAGGACTAAAGTTAGGCCCCAGGCATCACAATCATCAGACGAAACATGGAATTGCTCCCATTTCACGCCTGTCTTGTGTGGTCGTGGTATTTCACCGGGCGAGACGGCCCAATCGTGCAAAGATGTTAAAACGGGCCCCACCACAGTCAAAAACTGACAATCCAAAAAATAAATAATATTTACAAATGAAAACAAAAAAATAGTTTAACAGATAATTTATTTTTGTACGATCAACTTTAATGTGGTGTTAACGTTAAACTTAACTGTAGGAACTTAAACGGTAAAGTAAGTACTACTAAGTACATTCTTATCTATACAACTACTTTGTAAGTAAACAATCCTATGTTAGGAACGACTAGCAGAAAGTTATAAGTACATTAAATTTTATAAAGGTTAAAAAAAACTATTAAAAGGTACATAAAGTATATCTGCAATAACTAAAATTTAAACAAAAACTGCACAATATAAAACAAAACATAAAAAATTCGTTGTTTTCCTTAAATAAACAGTCTCTAAAATAAAACACAATTAATTTAAATTTTCAAAAATACTGGCAACATATACACCATTAAAACCATAGAGGTTACAAACGTCACAATTGTCATTTTTCGCGCGCGAAATTAATCATGTTTGTCTCTAGGAAACGAATCGGGAAGTCGGAACTCTGATATTGGTGAAATATACAATGGATTTAATTCTTGCATATTCTTTCTGCTTTCTTGTGCTTCTTGGACGAATTTCGCGTATGCTCTCCTGTCTGAGACAATTTGTGCACTCTTTACGCCCATTATAACAACGATTCCCGCGGCGATAACACAAGCCATTATCACTAAAGCACTGGTCATTATTCTGGCACTTGTAGGCTGGTAACACTCTTTTGATCTGATGACAATCTCCATAGCAATCATCGCTTGAGCTCCGGCGTAATACGTATACGAGTACTCGCATTCGAGGCCATTTTCATCGACTCGGAGAATGCACGAAGTTTCCGATTCATCAGAACTCGCTGAAACAATTGTATTTGTAGAATTATAAATGAAAAAACATTGTTATTTTCGGAATCACTGTCCAATTCTATAGATAATCGCTCGCTTGTCAGGTATCAGCTTGACCAAATATTTTAAAGAGATTTTCACAAACAAAATCCTAAAACCTAAAGGTATTACCACATATATTTAGCGTATATAGCATTTTAGAAATTTTGACGTCATGTTGAATTTCTAAAATAAATCTGTCAAATATGTTACGGTCGTGTTAAATGATTGTCCATTCGCGTCTCAAACTCCGTCATAAAACATAACTTTCTCCCATTCCGCGTGAGGTACAATGTTTACTGCAGCACTAAATTATAAATAGTACTTTGAGTTACATGTTTAAATTGCTTAAAATGAACGTTGCTATTTTGCGAGAATTCATAACCTATAAAACAATTGCACCGAACAACTAACTATAAGGAAACGCATCTCTATTCCATCACGCTCTAATTACTCTCTAATCTTTCATTATTCCATCACGGTTTTGTTATAAATACAGTTTTAGAGTGAACATACACTTTTGCTTAAATTATCGCACAACTGATGTGTGATTGTCGATTGTTTAGCAGCCAATTCAACTGTTTAATTGCACAACTAAAAATCGAGTTGTGTCCGCACGTACAATAAACTAAACAGTTCTGCGATATTTTGGTTTTAGGTGTGCATACGCTCTTAAAGTCAATGTTGCAATCAATCTAAACTAGAAAAATAATTAAAGTAATACAGGAAATGTTTATCTTGTTCCAAAACTAATTTAAAATTTTAATTACTTCCTAAAATTATTACCTACAGTTATTATTAGCCTTTCTTTTTTATTACACAAATTAACTTCAAAATTGTGTTGTGGGCAGGAATCAATCCCAATTACCTTGAGCTTTATGCACGGTTCACACTTGGCCAGTACAGTTAGTAGCACTAAACAATTGGACTGGCAATCAACTGGCACAGAGTGAACGCTAACTGGCACTAGTAAGTCTATACAATCTATGATTGGTAAATGTCTATTTGTACTGGTCAAGTGTGAACTAAAGAACGAATGTGTTCATTCACTCATTAACCTACCTCGTTCATTCATTCTCTCGCTGACGGTGTAGTTGACGTTGGCGATGTGACAGACGTCGGTGCAGCTGCTGTTGAGGTGGCAGAGCACGCAGGGCTCCGCGTTCGCGCACAGCGGGTTATCGCAGGTCGCGCACGTCTCGCAGAACGCGCCCGTGTACTTGCTGCCGTCCTCCTCCGTCATCGAACACTGACACTGACCTGGAACATGACAAAAGATCATTACTTATTCACTTAATGATATCAACATTAACTTATTTGTATATTTTCATTAATGTTGGCAACGTTTCTAAAAGCTCTTAGACATTTTTGTCAATCACAATTGATTCCCAAGGAACTTTATTCATCCATCCAGAAACCATTTTCTTTCAGATATTTGAAAGGATCAAACTCTTTACGCTGTATAGGCGCAACCAAGAATCACCTAAATATCTTTTAATCTACACTAATAACATGAAAAGGAAAGATTTATATTTTTGTATGTATTGCAATAACTCAAAACTAATAGGCCGATTTTAAAAATGCTTTTACCTTTAGAAGGGTAACTTATCTATGAGTAACATTGGCTATATTTGTTTTAACTCCACATATTATAAAGATTATAAAGTTATCAGTGGGTGACATAGGGTGTACTTTTTAATATAACGCTGACGAAGTAGCGTGCAATCGCTAATGGTTTGTATTTCTTACCACAAACACATTCTCCGTGTCCGGAGCAGACGCTGTCGGAGGCGGGCGCGCGGCAGCTGGCGGTGTCCTCGGGGCAGTCGCAGGCGGCGCCGCCCCAGCCCTCCGCGCACGCGCAGCGCCCGCACGCGCACACGCCGCGCCCCACGCCGCCGCATTCCATGCCGTTCTCACTGGAAAAAAAAAAAACAAAACCTCTAATACAAACCTTACGACTTGAAACCGTGATCTGGTTATCTAGACCCTTAAAAATACATTTTTTTCGGCTACTTTTTTTTACTAACATCATCATCACCTTTACCTACCCACTGTTGGACAGAAATTTCCCGATACCATCCACAGAATTCAAACATGTGATTTTTTCCGTACTTACACTGGGTGTTCCGATCTCAGGATTTCCACCTGCACTAATTTGGCAATGATTGGTCTAACTTACGGATAAAATCAAATATTTTTTGTGACAGATTTGCCACTGTTTGCCTTGTAGAGGCATTGACAGACTCACCGGGCTTGAGGTGGCCGAGTGCAGATGGGACTTAGGTTAAACCTCGTTTATGTGTAAATTAGCTCAAGGAGCTCTATCGGCTCTTCTCGCGCCGTGACTTCGTTATTATTATCGTATTGGGGCCGGAATCGGAATTAAAAGATGCTTATACAATCGTCTACCAATAAAGTTAACAATACTCACAGACTAATATCACAAGTAGGGCACTGGCAGTATCGGCCGGTGTATCCGCGGTCGCACGCGCACTCGCCACACACGCACTCGCCGGCACCAGAGCACGCGCGCGTTGAGTTCGCCGCGCGGCACTGCGCCTGCAGACGCGCTGACGCTGACTCGTCAGAAATCGAACAGTCGCAAGACGGACCTGACCTGATAATTAAAACTATAAGAGTCAGTCCTACTAATTTCTTGTAAATTGTCTGATAACAATCCATCGTGTAAAATATGTGATGGAAATATCCGATTTTGTTATCTTATCTGACAGTGACGTCATTTTTAAGCTATCTGAGCCTCTATTAGCCAGTGGTGGGACAGGCCTAAGTATTAGAGACTAGCTGTTGCTCTCGACGATGTGCGCGTAAAATTAAAAAATAATAAAAAATATAGTTTTTGTTACTCACTGTTAACGTAGCTTTTTAATCGTGTAAGAATTTTTAAAATCGGACCAGTAATTTTCTAGTTATTCTCATACATGTAATATTAGTATAGTTAGTTAGATTTATCAAAGTTTTAGGTTGTTGATAAAGAGTAGGGCAAATGAACCACAACGGTAGTGATTAATCGCTGGTTTTATGTTAATCTCTAAAAATATTGTCAGTCGACTTTTGATGACAAATGAAGCATGTAATCTTGTAAGTGAATTTGTTTGCTATCCTCTTACGCAAATAAAGGTAATCTTTTCTGAGTGAACTAATTTAGGACATGTGAGGACAATGATCCAGTTTTCCATAACCCATTTTGTGTTATCTCGAAACGCCTTTCTTTACTTTGATAAAGCATTCCATGCGTTACATAATAAAATCAAGAAAGTGCATTACGCAAATGCTTATCATCATCAACATTTAGGATTAATTTTACAAACTTTTTACGTGTCGTAATTTTAGTATTTCTTTAGAGTATGCTGCCCGGTTGCTTACCATCCTTTATTGCACTGACACACGCCGCAGACGATGTGCGAATTGAAAGGACACGTTAGTAAAATATCTTTTTGCAAATCGCCTTCACATTCGCAGCCGCACTGCATGTCCACGTCTAGAGTTAGAGAGTCCTGTCCTAATTGGCTTTCTGATATCTTTATTGTCTGGCTCATCTGAAATAACATAAAATTATGTTAACTAACAACTTCTAAATAAACTAAAAGTTTTATTCAGTTATTATTTTCTTATTAGACTTACGGATTACACTAAAAGTTATCGATCTAACAATGACACGTAAGTTCGTTAATTATTTGTAGAGAGTGAATCAAAAACACTTAAAAAGTAAACAATTTTCACAATAAAACAAGTTTCCATTAAAAGTAAACCATTGCCATTGACCAATACCAATAAGTTACATACCTTTTTGTACTCAGGACAAGACTCCAAACTGACATGGGCCTCATAATTCAGGGTCATACCGTATTCTACGCCGGTGCACCGCGTCGCCTCCACCATTGGACCTTTCACTCCGCAGTCGCTGAAGTATTTGACCTTCACGGGGCCCGATTCGGAATCATCTTCGAAATCGACAACACTGACGATATCTTCGTATCCAGTTTTAACTAGTTTCAAAATATTGGAGCTGTCACTTTCCAGCCTGGCCACGTAAGTGTAGTCCTCTAACAGACGATGTAAACTGTCATAATGGTATTTAACACTTTCAGTTACGGCGAATATCACGTTAACCTACAATCAAAATTATTATTTGAACTCATTTGAAATTAAAAAAAAAGCATAAAAATCCTTGCTTGAAGGAAAGTGAATATTTATCACACAGTATTTAGTTATAGTAAAGTACCAACAGAAATACATTTGCTTATAAATACGAAATATTCAGGGAAAACAACTGCCGGTAGTTAAAACAAATCTATGCTTATTGGAAAATCTCCAACGCCGTTACAATTAGTACAAACCGGCAGTAAACATAGTTCAGCAATAGTTTATTTATTTAAAACATTTGCCGGTACACGTGAATGCGTTGTGATCTAGTTTCTATATTGGGACAATATTGTTTTATTTACCTTGTATTTATCTAGTAGTCGGAACACTTGCGCTATAGACGGGTAGTCGTAGCTACCCGCTTCGGAGTAATATCCATCCTCGTTAATATGACAGCTCTCGTCGTTTCTCAAAGTCGCACCACCTGTAAACGACTTTACTGAGAAACTGACATCAGAGTAAATAGTCCACGTTAGTTGTAAATACAAAGTACTAAGTTGCAATGAAATTTGCAAATAAATCTATTTGTGACTAGCTGTTGCTTGCGACTGCGTCCGATGAAGTTAAAGAAATATAAATTTAAGTTATTTCAATACGCACAAAAATACAAATCTTTCCCCTTTATAATATCAGTATAGGTATATAGTCTTAATAGAATAGAAGTATACATTTCATTTTATTCAAATAATAGAGTACACAATCGTAGAAAACGTATCGTAAGTAAGTATAGCATATTTCAAAGTGAAATAACTAAAGAACTCATTCAACAATGGAGAATTTAACATTTTAATATTTAAATCTTCAATAAAGTATTTACCAAGTTTCCCATCCCCAGCGGTATGCATGAGCCCATCAGTTAGGAGTAAGACGATCTTCCGGCTCTGCGGCGCCCAGCCGACCTTGTCTCCGCACGCTATCGCCTGCACCAATGCTTCTAATTGTGCCTCCGCATTGTCTAAGTTTGCTGTCACTGAGCTGCTGTTTACGTGCTCTATAAAGTCATTTACCTAAACAACAGAGAGAAAGTAGAAACTCGCCTCAGGAGATTCGCAACTTCACACAACTGGCGATTTAATCTAAGAAAAATAAATGGCATTAATGTGTCAGTTAAGATCATTCTAAAAAAAATTTTATCTATGGAATTTAAAAAGACTAACTATTGCTCGAGACTTCGCCCGCTTAAATTTAATAATGTAGCCTATGTACCTCACAGATAAATTACTTTTCTAACGGTGAAAGAATTTTTAAAATCGGCCTAGTACTTTTTGAGTTATTTCAATACATACAAAAATACAAAAAGAAAAATGTTTCATCTTTATAGTATAAGTATAGATAAAGCAGTAAGAACTGAGAACCAACCTTGTTAGTTAATGAAAGGTGATGTCGGTAACTGTAAGTGGCTTCACAATCCTCTTCTTCACTCGAACAGGGGTTGGCGAGTCGGCGCGGGTCCACACTGATGTACGGCATTAGAGGTTTCTCAGCGAAACTACCGAAACCGATTCTGAAATACAAGAACGCGAAATACGTAGAGTAATCATAAGTATAGTTCTAACATTGGTCGAAATATTGTTTCTAATAAAAATACAATAACAGAAATAAAGCAACAGTTTGACAAATTATCTATTCGTTATTAAAATCAATTTCAATAATTCGTTTTTTTGTTCAACTTCATTATCCACTATAATCAGCCTAAGGTCGTATACCGCTGAACATAAGCCTCCAACATCAACTTGTAAGGTAACAAATACTTGAAACATAACTTCAATATTAAACATTCGTAATATACCTACTTTACACGTGTACAAAGCTTACCTGAAATTATCAGTCAGATTTTTCAACATCGTAGGCAAATCGTCACGCAGAGATACAAGAGTTTCTTTGTCATCTTTCATAGACCAAGTCAGATCCATCAAGTAATACAAATCTAGGGGATAATTCTTCGCTGGTCTATAAGTAAATTTTATCTTACGAGTTTCCCCTGAAAACAGAAATGTAAACGGTTAAATGAAATTGGTGTTAAATAGATATGTTTGATTCCAACTTCTTACAAAAGAAAAAAAAAAGAAATTTATATTTTTACTTGGTTTTAAGGATAGTTTGATTCTCTGCGGTTGTATTTGTACGACAGCCTCTTGCTGGTCTGGCCGCATGTCTTGCAGTGAACTATTCTCAGCGACCTCCCACACCGGCTTCTCCGGCCGCTGGATCATGCCTTGACTGCACCCCGTCGATACCAAACTATGTGAACATACGTGTAAATGTTACAAGCGGTTTTATTTCCGCTGTATATTATTGTATTACAAGTCACCATCATTCCGTTTTTATACTAGTAAGTACAGTTGTGGAAATTTGCAGTGTTCCATTTTAGGAAAAATTGCCTTGTTCATTGTAACGAGGCAAACTCCGCCTCTCTACTATTACTTAAAATATCAGTGAATAGTACAAATAAAGGGTTAATAACAAAAAGAAACTAGCCGTGTATCACTAACCGACTTTTTTTCGTAGACACATTTATGAGCTGTATTGATTTTCGTTCCGTGTCTCTTTTAGGTGAAACACCGCCACTTTCCCCGATTGTACCACTCTAAATTGCACATAAGCTTTCAATGTCTCCTTCCTTTATAAAGTTGCCCTTGCACATGCATTGCATATACTGTCACTGAACGTAAACATAACAATCAGTAAAGTGAATGACCTTATTTCGTAATACATTATCAAAAGTCACAGCTCACTCCGACATCAAAGCTTAGAACAATCTCGCTTTTGTTCGAAAGCGCATTTGATTACCGATTGAATGATAACATTAACCAACTCAGCGTGCGTTGAAATAAAAATGCGCTCCATTGAAAAGTGTTCTGACGTCACGTCACGAATCATGATCAATCACGCAACGTCTTGATCACTCCACGCTCAGTGGGCGAGTTCCGATCTCGGACGTAGAACGTGGGAATGCGACGTGTTTGAAACGCTTTGATGTTCCCAAGCGCCGGTCCATGAACTTACGACTTCGCGCGTGACAAATTTGTTTTATTGTTTATTTAAAGTTTTATCGCAAGAACCGTAGTATCAAAGTATTTTGGTAAACATTGTACTGTTGGTTACTATCTAATAGAGGATTTCTAAAGAAATAACAATATTGTGCAATGCAATTGCTGTATTGTGAAGACATATCAAACAATACTATATAGTTAATTGATAAGAGTTTTAACATAGAAGTATGGATAATGTAGAAGCGAGACCCGTAAGTAGGCAATAAACATATAACTTGAAGTGTGAAGTTAGGAGCCGCCAAGATATCTGATTATACCTTTCTTCTTTTAGTGGCTTAACTACTTATGATGTCTTCTTTAGAACACGTTTAATGTGTTGGAAAAAAATTAACAAAACAACATCATACTTTCTAATCATATTGATGATAAAATATATCTCATCCGCATGTTATTCAAATGTATTTGCCTATTCGTCTTTTGTCACACGAGTGTTAACTACAGTTAGTTTGTCAGATATGACCATTAATCTATATTAACGCTTAAGATTTTGACAAATGCAGTTGAGCAGTATGGGAATGCGACTGCTAATTTTTAATAAAGTAACGGTAACGTGGTATTAAGGTTTTCTAACATCTTGTCGGTTTAGTAGTTCACATAAATCACTGCTTAGATCACAATGTTAGGTGTGACGAGGCGTCAAGGGAAACGAGGGTAATGATGAAGGTTGACATGGCCTATAAATAAATTATATCACTCGGGATGCGTGAGTTTGTTGTATATATTTATATGGTGCTATTCTATGTGTGAATGTGTAACCTCTCATCGTCGTTGCAGCGCGGCGCGGCGGTGCTGTAGTATGGGTCGGCGCACCAGCGGCAATGCGCGGCCGCCGACAGGCACGCACCGCACTCCACGTGTTCAATACACACAAGCTTATTCAGCAGTTGCTGCTGCACTGTAAAACAAAATTTACAAGTCATTCTTCTAGCAGAAAACGGGAGACTCGAAAATCACCAACGATACGTGTTACCGCAACAATTATAAAAGTTAGTGGTTATCAAACAAGATGATCATAAAAAGAAACTGGGACATGTTAAAAATGTCATACATACCAATGTTTAAAATTAATATCAAATATTAAATTATATTCAATTAAGTATGAATGGATCATTGTAGATAGTCGGCGCACCTGTCTTTTGTTTAAAAGCTCCGCGTGACGTGGGCGCGAGATCACAACAACCAGGTCATGGATCTCATGCACTTTGTAGCTATTTGTCACTTTACCATAGAGTACTTAGCGATAGTCATACATTCTCACAACATTATTAGAGCTAAAATCAATGCCCTACATAATAACATAGTTATCTCCACAACAAAATAAATGAACTGAAAAAAATGTTTCCTTTTTATCCTGATAGGATTTAATACTGGAAAACTTAGATAAATAATAAGGGACAGTAATCAATCTTACTGGTTTAATTAAATTTGTACATCCTTACAAAATCACTACTAATTAAGTTACCGTACATTTTAAAAGCTTCCTGCGACTTGAAGCGGACACGCCAGATAGTACGGGGTTTACAAAATAAATGTACATCATTAAATATCGATAGTTGACTGAATCTAATGTCGGTGCATTCAATTTAATTGCAAGTATTAATAATGTTAGAGCGGCATTAGTATTCGGAAAGGGCAGGGAAGTGGTACCAAAGCCAAACTATTATTCAAATACACGAACCGACTCGATCCAAGGTACTGTTAATTATTTGCATTTTGTATACATCGGCCATATTAGAAACAGCGGTCATGTCGAGTGAAATACCGGAAACCGATATTAGGACGCTGATCGTACGATATACAATTTGATTTAGTGTCAATGGCCGTGTTTATAAATATTTTTAATTCATTCATAATATTAGTTACTGGCTGTTGCTTGCGACTTCGTCAAATTTAAAAAGAAATTACAGTCTACGTTACTCACAGTTAAGTCACCTTTGTAATGGTAAATGAATTTTTAAAATCGGCCTAGTAGTTTTTACGCGAATTAAATACTTACAAAAATACAAATCTTTCCTCTTTATAATATTAGTAGTCTAGGTAGTATATGAATAAATTACCTTACTTCAGCTACAATGCCATATAAAACTTAAGCATTTGTTCTGTTAAATTATTTGGTTAATTATCTCCAGTAAAATCAACTATCAAGACTATTTATCTTGTTTAAGCTATGTATACACTGTCACTCGTGAGTTGCAACATTTATTTACGACACTGCCGTCTTATTTGTGTAAAGAATTTGTTAACGCAACGCATAACCTAAAAGGTTGTCAATTAGCAATGAATCTAGACATATTCTATGTGCAAAAAATCAAAGTGTACGTAAATAGTTACTCTTAAACAATATCCTTGGTTAGTAAATTAACTATAGTACTGTCATTATAAACGCATTAATGTCGTAACCCTAAGTTTCGCAGAATGTCTCATGACATTCACCTAGATATGAATGGAAATCTATAATTCAATTTAAATATAATTTAAGATTCTTCTTAAATTATATTATTTTATAGCTATGACTAGGAAATGTTAACTCTTCAGGTTTATTTCGAATTCTTCTCATTTTTACGCATTTCAAATCTCTAACATTTATACTGCATTCAATATCTTTATGATGTGAAAATTGACGCTGACATCATCATTCGATGTTAACAACCCGATAGTCACGCTCTCGATAGTATGGCAGATATGTGGGTATACATAAATTGGGAATTAGATCAGCATCGCCATTCCCAAGTGTCGCGTCCATGTTGACACAATTTATGTAGGCGTCTACAAGATTATCGGTCACGCTACAGATTACAAGAACACACATAAGTTTATGCACATCCTGATGTATATTTTCAGCGTATATAGAAGAAAAATATTTGTACGTAACATTTTTATGGTGACCATATTCATCTCTGTCCTTATCTCATTCCACACCGGCTTTATGTCCAAGTTGATCATGTTATATGCAATCCATCCAAGTCCTACCGATGTACCCTTCCATATTCATATTAAGGTAGACATATTGTTTGTAATAATTTGGACATTACTAAAAAAATTAGTAAGTTGAATTTATTACCGAATTTTTTGATGTTCATCAGGGTATAAATATTCCTATAGAGAGACTGTTCCATTCAAAAAAGAGTATGGTCACATTAACCACATATAAACCACGCTAAAGTGGCACGCACGTGTCGGATGTTGCGACGAACAGCAACTAAGGAACGGACAACAAATTGATGGTATCGATTGCTGACGCCCAGTAATTACGAGATCTGTGTTTAGATTAATCTGTGTTTGTTGTACCGCTCACATCACGCTTATAGACCAGTTTGGAAATGAAAAAAGACAAAGAAATCATCGCATTACAATAAAATGGTTTTAAAATATTAAAAGTTACAACAAAATTAAATGACAATTATCTGCTAGTTATAAATTGTAGGCATAACTAACAACAGATGGCTATGTATCGAATTACTCCATGGAGTAAGGGCAATTATAAACTAATTACATTATCACTTTGTATTGCATTTAGATATGAATAAAAACGTACTTTCTAGCGGATAATTTTGTATTTGATAGTTTAATTTCAAGATGGAATTATGAATATAATAACAATATGCTGTACCAATTTTGCCAGTCATTTACGATTACAAATGATCCCCACGATTTAATATCGATGTATTGATGTCTCGATTGAAACAAAACGTCTTCATTAGTAATCAAGGGATCGTAAACTAATACGATAATGGATTTTCTATTTATATTTAGTACCAAGAGTTTAGTGATGTTATTACAGGGCGTTTCGGATTGGATCCTGTGTTTCCAGATGTCGAGTGCTACGGTCGACAAATCTTTAAACAACAATGACTGATATATTATTTACAGCATATATACTTATCTGTTTGTCTATATTTTTAATTCTTGTGGCTAAATGCATTGTAACCCATATTTGTCTGCTCTTCAGGTGTAGGCAAGAAGCAATAAGATTTTAAAACCTGTATAGAAATTAGTTAACAAGTTACACTGAGATTCAGTTAGGGAGTTGCTAAAAAGCGTAAATCGATTCGGACTTGAGATGTTCATATCACCCGATAAAATTAATCATCAAGTTAATCATTCTCAATTGTAAAAGGCCACCTTGACGGGCATTGCAGAGCCTAGCTTGATCCATTATTCGTAAAGTATCTTCATGTCTACAATAATAGACAGCTTCAATAATTTACTTACTAACAACGAAACTATTTATCTTAAAGTGAAAGGACAAAGACGAGTTGAAGTTAGAAATGTATATTTAAATTCCCTAAATAGTTGATGTCATACGAGCTGGCGACTCATAAATATTTTCGACGCCGGCAGAGAAGGAAGATAAATTTGTTGATTTCTGTGTTCAGAATAAAACTGTCATTCCATTTGTGGATAATATTCTATTTGTGAAGCGACAGCGGACTGGTGGCAGGTGGGTTCCGGAGATGCTACATGGCTACGGTTATTTCGGGTGCGCATCACAATTTAATGTACACACAGATGTAATAAATGTATCCTTTGATGCATCGCTGTCTGATAACACATTAATGTAATAAGTGCAATGTGTTTGATAATCGTTACTACAGTATCTAATGGTAATTTAATGTGTCCGTTGACTTAAACTGGGATCTTAAACTTTGCTTTTGTACCTAAGACTTCATTAGTTTGCACAATTTGGAATGCCTAAGAACCTTGATAAGGTGATTACATGCCGTACTTTAAGTTACTGAGTTATAACAGCTTTAAAACATGACTTACTCTGTGATTCATTTGAATGTTGTGTATAAACTACACAATTGTTATCAATTTGTAAGCCTTATCAAAAAGACATTTAGAATTTTTCATAATTATAATGACAAAGAAAATTGTTTTAAAAACTCACCTTGACAGGATGAAAATCCAAACAATATACACAAATTCACAATAAATAGCACAGATTTTGCCAACATGGTCGTATGTCACACGCGGGCAAGTAATTCGCACGTGTGTGAATCAAGCGGTATTGCGCGATCAGTTCGCGATGAGTGTGTGATAAGGGCTGATAAGGCGATAAGGGGCGGGCGGCACGGCGCGGGCAACGCGCTCGCGGCGCGCTCGCTCGCGCCTACGTCTCGACGCGCCGACATCTGCCGAACTTCTAATTTCTGGTCCCGCGTACCTTCATGCACGGAAGTGAATTAAAAGTTTCGCGGCGCTCGCTGCCACGATAAGACGCTCATTTCAGCCATATCAACAGCCATGGCTACGTGTCTAATTAATTAGGTTGATTGCCCAATTCGCGTGATCTAATTATGAGAAAGTTATCAACGTTTCTTACAAAATACTTTCCAATTATCTCTTGGCTTGTTGGTTATCGTTATTATGAAACGTCTATGGTTGTCACTGTTTTCTTATCTCCCTGTCTCTAAGTCATTGAACGCTATTGAAATAAACGATTTTTTGCTACCTTCTAGCAAATTACATTATTATTGCAATTTTTATTCATACCTGCCTATAAGCGAACCATTTGTTAACCTATTTCCTTTTTAATTAACTCCCCAAAAGAAGGAGATTTTTAATTCAATTAAACAAATTTAAATTTAATTAAATAAAGTTGCACCGTGTAAGAGTCACACTTAATCGTACCTATCCGTGAACAACATAAGGTCTTTATACTTATAATTTACAGGCAGTTTGAAGTTGTACGTTTTATGGGTGCTCAATTTTCTTCGAGTAATAAACCCTTCACCGTTGACGTAATTCAAGTGTCGGAAAACAAATAACTCGCTTTAATTACTTTCTTAGTCGCGCTTTTAACTTGTAAAGTACTGCAATTTCAAATTTGGAATTAATATTTAGGCTTTGTAAAGCACTATAATGGATACGACGACACAACTTTGATGTCCAAATTCGCTAAACATGTCATTGAAAAAAAAACCATATAGACGAATTGAGAACCTCCCTATTGAAGTCTTTTTGACCGACTTCCCAAAAGAAGGAGGTACTCAATTCGTCTGTATTTTTTATGTGTTAAGACATAACTCCGCCCCTAGTGGACCGATTATGTTTTTTTTTTATCTGAAAGAACTACAAGCTATGATATCATTATACATTTATATAATCATTTGTATCCATATTTTAAGTACATAAGTACGTATATACGTACTTTATATTAAGCTCAACTTCGGCACTATCCGTCATGAGGAGTCACAATGGCTACTTACATTGAGGTATAGTCCTTTGTAGTAAGCATTTCTCAATATACGATTTTCATCATTTAACTATATTTCAAATACGTAGTATAGTTATAAAATTTCAAGATTAGGAATAATACGAAAACACAAAATTTAAACGATCTCGCGTCAAACTCGCTAAGGGATGACCAAAGTATAATTTGCCTATTAATTGTATAGCCCGTCCTAATTAGTAACGAAAATAACATTGCAAAATAAATATCTGCCAGACACGCAGATGGGCACACCTAAATTGTCGTGTCTAACCATGGTCATAATAGTTAGCAATGTTTTTTATTTATAAGACTAATTAAAGTTACGAAACAGTAAACAATTAATATAACACGAAATATAAACTAATTTAATACGACAACGTGTCTTCGCAATCCTTCAATATCGAAATATTTGCATACTGCTTCTCCGCAATTAAAACGGACTAAGATCTCTCTACAACGTAATCGTAACAGAATGTTCTACGAGAAAGGTAAACAATACAAAAAAAACAATCAACAAAAATAGCAGCGTAGAGCTAATACCTAATGGGTACGTATTTCTGATCACGTGGTCGAAGGTTCGAATCTCGTCATTCAGATATTTTCGTAAACCATTCCTAGCATAAGTCAATAAGCAATATTACAAGAGTAAAGACTCAAAAGTACAAGAAATATTAACAAATGAAAAAAATCTACTAACATTGAAAAAAGTGTAAAACTGGCCAATAACAATAAGGCCAATAAAACTTGCCAGTTAAAATCTAAATAATTGTACGGATTAGTAATCACACATTTTTAAGTGAGCTTAAGAAACATCTAAAACAAATGTTAAAAGCATTTCTGAATGGAGCCGTGACCTCTAGTGGGTGTACAGTCGAGGCCAAAACTCTAAGCGCATTCAACTTAATTGCACACGTCACCAACGCCCGTAGGCGGCATTCGCTACTCCCAGTTTAGTAATGGAGGTTTTATTATTCGCCATAAATGGTTAAATTGCGCAATAATATATTACGTAATAGAACAAAGGAACTTATAATAAAACACCGATAAAAAAAATAGAAACCGTAGCCAAAGTTAAGCTTTATAGTAATCTATTTAGAAACATTTCGAGGGAAAATATGCTTATCGGGCAACATTTAAATACTTGTTGATAATTAACTGTAATTAATCCTGTAGCAGAAACTAAATTCAGTCAATTATATGCAACAAGTTAAAAATTACAAGTATAAACATAAATTTCTAGATGCACGAATTTTAGTTTGAAAATCCAATTATTTGTTAAGGTTCTCCACCTCCATAACTTCTATCCAATAAGAACCACAGTGTATAAAATGTAGCAATACCAAGTTGTTAAAACATTAATTATCAGAGTAGAAACAGAAACAAAGTGTGCGCGAATGTACATAAAAATACAAGTCTCTGTTTAAGTGGGGTTCAAACTTTCAAAGTAAAGTGTCAAATAAATGCCTGTCTTAACTTATGTAAGCGAGTGTACTTAACACCTTAAAGAGCGACCTCTTTCCCAACTCAGTGAGCAATTGACTTGTTTACAAAGCCCTAGTGATTGTGTTTACATGCGTTATTGTGCTTAAATGTTGATAATATTAAGCTTGTTTTGACGGCGTTTTGTTATTCCATTCGTTTTCACTGCCGCGAGTATTAACTGTTTCCTGTCACGATTGCTACTTTGAAATTAAATTAACTGCTTATCAAACTTACAAGCGTAGAGAATTCCTATCTATTACAACATTAACATAAACGTCAAGTTTTCTTTACACCTTGCTTATAACAAAACAAACGCAAGATGTTCAATTAAAGTATTTAAACATTGATATCTCAGAGCCTTAAACTTCTAATTATTGGATTTCATTAAATAAATATGTTTACGGTGATCGTAATGAAATGATTACTCTAGCATTTTCTTATAACGAGTATAACTCGAATAACGATTTTAGAAATACAAAAAAATCTTACTAAATCAAAATTAAATTAATTTTATTGAAACAATTCATTCTTCAATTAAAATAAATAAATCTCTAAGTTAACACTTTCATAGTTTCATATCTCCGTTTACGAGCCTCCAACATAACGTACAAATGGTTCACAGGTTGGAACCAACAATACCCATGCTCTGCTTTTCCCAGCCACGTGTGTCCATTGGGATCTATCAGTGTTAAATTTCCGACAGGGCAGTTGTCAACAAACTCGCACTGCAGTACAGTACCGTCTGGGTAGTAATATCTACCGCGGCCGGTGTAGCACCAATCCTTCAACAAACCCTGGTACCTGGAGCCATCTTGGTATGATATCATCACCTCATCGTTAACGCCTATCTTGTCGTTGTCCCAATAACCAGCGTACGCGTCGCCTTCTGCAGTCGTGTAAATCCCAGGACCTAGGAAACAAAAGTCTAATATAATGTGCAATTTTGTTATAAATAACACTAACCGGATGAATCGCTATAAGCATTGGTTACCTACGTTTAGAAATTTGACCAACATCTGCAGTACAGTATTGTACTGTTCTGCTTCAGATCACATAATTTATGATAAAATCTTTCGAGAAGTTTCGGCCAATGCTCTTTCCATTGCTCAATCTCCTTATGGTAGTAATAATAACAATGGACCAAAAATAATTTCTAGTTACTATACTAATATTAATTATGTAATAAGAAATAGAGCAAAACAGATTAAAGTATTAAAGTCATTCAGTTATGACGAAATATTTTTGTCACGGATACGTTTTCCGAAACCACCGGGCGCCAATTCGATATTGGAAATTGAACTAAAATCGCTTTCAATAAGAAAAAAAAAGAAAACATCTACCGACCGGACACACTCGAAGCGGAAGTCGACGTTGCTTTTTTGAATTCCTTTCAAAGTTCACTTTCTATATTTTCAGTTATTGTTAATCTGTTACGTATAAAATAGGATACGGATTTGTGTGCGGCCGCTGGATGCAATGCTTCCAGTAACCAGAGCGTATCAGTCGACATCGCCGGAATAGAGTACGGTCCATTAAACACCATTTTATAAAAGACAAAAACATTCCGTCCTGCTCGGCTGGCTTTCAAGTTTAAAAACATTAGCCACGAACAAGATGAGATTAAATAAAAAGTAAAGAAAAAGGTCAATGACCTTTGAATCTTTAAACTACGATTAACATAAACTTGTCTACACACATTTCCATTGTATATAGTAAACGTGTACAGAAAATAAAATCGTTTCTATGATTATTAAAAATCTACATGAAAAACAAGACATCTAACTTTTGCAATTCTTTCTTTATAAAAACAACAATTTAAATTACGCAACATTAACCTTACCTTGCATTTTTATACTTCTATCTTTTTTCTTCACCTCAAAAGAACCATTGTAGGTGTCCCCAGTGTCATGTACAAAGAAACCTTCGTCTTGTATCACGAGTACCTCTTTGACTTGTTTCTTAGTATCAACAGTCGCTGTTTCAGAAATATCTCCCGAGTCGGTCATTTTGTTGAACCTTAAAAATATATAGCCATAATATCTTGAACTTCTCTTTGAAATATTTCACTTTTTATTCAATCCATACATAATTCGGGTTCTATCTAAATTCTCACTGAAAAGCCCTAACTTGTATTCCACAAGTTCATATTACGCTGTTTTACTAAAAATTGAAGTGGAATTGATACTCTACCTAGTGCAAGATTCAACGTCCTATTTACTTATTTTTTATAATATACCCACATTAATTGTAGATAATTAAAAATGCAAGGTATACATTACATGTCGCCTTTTAATCAATTAATTTGCGACATGTTTCACATAAAACACAACTTTAAGAAGGTTACATGACAGGTCGTCCATGACATGTACTAATTTCTTTTTTGCACGCGATTGTTTTCGGCCATGGCCTAATTATTGGTCATACTTATAAACTAGCTGGTGCTCGCGACTTCGTCCGCGTGAATTAAAAAGAAATGAAAATACAGTTTTTGTTAGTTACTCATTGATAACAAAGCTTTTTAATGGTGCAGAATTTTATGGAATCATCTCAGTGGTTTTTTAGTTATTTCAATAGATTTTTTTTTTTAAATTGGATAATACAGATCTCTCGTCCGCAACTTTATCATCATGAAATAAAAACTAGCCGATACTATTCTTTCTAGGCTGTAATTTATCTCTGTCTTGCCATCATCGAATATGGAATAAAATATAAATAAAAGTTGTGTAAAACAAAATAAAAAAAAAACACCACACAATTTTAATTAATAAATTTATTTTACTAACATCCATTTAATCTTATTACAGCTTCGCGGTAATACATAACCATAATCAGATGATCCACGGCTTGGACGCCATTTTGATTTATTTACATTGACATATGGCGCGTATTTTCAACTTCTATACTAAAGGAAATAAATAATGAACTGTTTAAAATAAATGATCTCAAAATCGCGGGCAAAAGTGCGAATCTAAATCCTCTAAATACATTTCATTAAATCATAGTGCTAAATATTTTTTTCTAAAAATCGTCGAGTTATCGTCAAATCTGTGAGTTCCCGCCGACTTTATGTACGAAAAAACACGAATGGCCTAAAACATTAGGAAACAAGTCGTCACTGGAAACTACTACTGTGTTCTTAAAACTCGAAAGCATTTCGATCCTAACTCTAAGGCCCCTTATACAAGGTGCCTTGTGTACAAACGGCTAACTCGGTTATCGTCGTTATAAGATCTCAAATGGCAAAATATAATAGATTTCTACTCCAAAGTTAAATTTAGTAGGGGTTTTTAAGGCAAAAGAATATTTAAAAACTGATATCGCAAATAGATATATTTCTTGATACTTTATTTTTTTTATTCGTTGTTAATTATAATAATTAATAAATATCCCGAGATACATACATTTATTCAACTATCTAAAATATTTCGACAAGTTCAAATGAACTGGAATTAAGTCACTGCATGATATCTAATAAATTAACAATGATAAATTAAACACCCTCGACTTTACTATCTACACATCCTTCGAAAAAAACAAAGTTTTTAATAATCATAAATAACCGTAAAATACTTTCATATATTTTTTTATAAAGTAAACGTCAAAAAATAACGGTAACAATAGCAAAAAATCGAAGGACATGATTTCATACAAATTCAGCTAATTGGATAAGAAAGGCTAAAAAGCTTGTAGTCAAACCCACAAATAAGTACCACAGATAAAAATATATACAGTCATTTAAAAACTACATTTTATTTGGAAAAATGCACATTAAAGTCACTAATTAGGGATTCTTTAAATACCGTGTTTCTTATCCAATCAGCTGTTGTATAGATTATTTTCAAAGTATCATATTAGCGGGGTCTTCGAGGTTGTCTTTGAGCGCCTTCATCCACTGCGCGCCCACCGCGCCGTCTATCACTCGGTGGTCGGCAGATGCCGTGAACGTCACGAACTTTGCCACACGGAACCTAAAAAAAAATAACTCATTTGCTCTTTATTACCTTTTGAACACACAAAGTCTCAACTGAAACGAAACTTGAATACTTTGTAACCGCCGTTTACAATCTGACAGATGTCAAAATTAATATAAAATGCAGTTTAAGTGTGTGGGTATATCGTAGTAAATAACTGTAACTATCTTTATAGATGATTAGTTCATGATTGTATTACATATTTTTTAAAAGTCAAATACTCAACGGATTGTTTCGTCTGAAAATATTTAAAACCTTCATCGATATAAAAAATGCCATAAATAATTACACTCGTAGTGAAAACGTCTTTTTTTGACGTTGATGAGACTATTCTAAATAGGTATAATTTTTTTTGTCTACATTTAAAAAATGTTGATTTTGTCCGGCTCGAAGGATCATTTTTTCCTTATATCGATCTAAGATTACAAAGCAAATTACAGAATAATTACTTACCCTTGAGGTTCATTTTTATCAGGGATGACTAGTTCCTGTAGACCTCCGCAGGCCAATATCAACGACTGCGGCGGGTTGATGATGGCGTTGAACATTGTTATACCTACAAAATTGTGAACAAATATAGGCTGTTTTATTTTATAACTAAACATTTAAATTATTGAACATATTAAGCTTCAGAATATAAATATCTTCGAGTATAGATTAATTTGGAATGAACGCCATACTAATATTAAAAATGCGAAAGTGTAGATGGGTGTTTGTTAGAGTTTGCAGCCGAAACTGCTGAAAGGATACCAATAAAATTTTGTGTAGATTTACAGCATAATCTGGAGGAACACATGGCTACTTAGGTTTTTTTTTAACTTCACACGGATTTGCGAAGGTATAAAAAAATTCTTCAAAAGGGTGTGCAGATACTTCAGACCAGTTTTATAGTAGCTTTGTGTAGGTGTACTTTATGGTTTTTATAAAGTGATTTGTGTACTGTGAACATAAAAACGCTATTTTCAAGTTTAAATTGTTTGTCGATACAAGTAAAGTGTATCGGAGTTATTTCTTACCATACATTCCTAGATTGGAGACAGTAACAGTACCACCCTGGTACTCCTGGGGCTGCAGTTTGCCATCCTTCGCCTTCTGCGCCAGTTCCTTCACGGTCTTGGAGATGTCAACGACACCGCGAGAATCCGCGTTAAACACTATAGGAGTTATCAACCCCGTAGGCGTCGCCACCGCTACACTCACGTCTACGTTGGAGAATCTGAAAAAAAGAGGTTAATTAGAATGGATGTAATTAAAAAAATATCCTGTTAACATATTACTCACTGTCTAATGAAGGATTCCATCCAGTGTGAGTTAGCGGTGGGCACGCGCTTGCAGGCGGACGCCACAGCTTTTACTATAAAGTCGTTCACTGAAATCTGTAAGAAACATCAACTCATTTATAATCTATATCTATACTATTATAATAAAGTGTAAACACACACATCTTTGTTGCCTAAGATGTCAGCAATTACAGCATATTTTTGAATAGTTCTTTTTTTTTAAAAAACCCTACACTTAAGTCACGCTTTAGGCTATATATTTTCACGCCATTAAACTTAAGGATAAATATTTTGAATAAAGACCCTAATGTGGGAAAGAGACCATAAGTTGCTGCCAACATCAAGGAAGCAAAATTGCCATCATGTCATGTCTGTCATTTTGACATTTGCATTTGAATTTGACAAAAACTATAAACCAATAGCAGCAAGCAAACAAAATTGCTATGGTAACGGTAATTTTGAGGCAATGGCAAAGGCTTTTGTCGTCATTTAAGTATTTAAATGTTTGTATTATTATGAAGTGGATAAAGCTGTACCACAATAGTTAGTTCTATAAAATAACAAGAAATCTAGTTCCTTCTATAGTTTATTTAAAAACTAACCTTAAGACCAGGTTCTTCTTTCGCCAACCTGTCATTGACATCCTTCCTCATTTGCAGGGTCTTTTCAATATTGACAGTGGCACTGAGCTGGTAGTGAGGTATGGTCTGTTTAGCGGCTGACAGTCTCTTGGCGATGGTCTCCCTCATCCCCGACAGGGGGATGTCGAGGAAGCTGGCACCGGGGGCGGGGGCGGCGGCGGGGGCGAAGGCAGGGGCGGCGACTGCGCCGGCGGCGGCGAGCGGCGCGGCGCCTGCGAGGTCACCACTCTTTAGTGACCCGTACAGTCCAGAACCCTGGCCTGTGCAAATGGCACATGTCAGGTGTCAAACTATAATTTTCAATCTACTTTGTAGTCAAGTTTGCTTTCCATTGATTTTGGTCACTATTTTTTATTTACGAATCCTAGGGTAAGTAGTTTTAGAGAAAGTACTACGAAATTGCAATCTTACTAATATTATGAATGCCAAAGCATAAATGGATGAAATTTTGTTCAAAGTTATCTCTGGAAAAGCTTGATTGAATGACAATGAAAGGCATATATGTAGAACAAAATCACTTCTACATAGATATTTTATTTTTATTCTGGAAACAAAGTCGTGAGTAAAATCTATTTTCTTACAAGAACAATAATCAGTCTTAATTATTATTCCGAGTTACATTCTGAATTAACTAGATATGTATTAACTTTATAATTTTTTTATTACAATCCAATTAACAATATTAAGTTTAGTTTTGCGTTAACCAACCATACCTCCAAGTCGTATGTTCCTGAGTTCAGCTAGTCTGCGGGCTAAGGGGCTGGCGTATACTCTGCCTTCGGGAGCGGCGGCGGTAGGTGCGGGTGCTGCGGGAGCGGCGGGTGCGGCGGGGGCTGCGGGTCTGGGGGCCGCGGGCGCAGGAGCCGCCGCTGCTGGCGCGGGCGGGGGCGCAGCCGCAGCTGGAAGGTAAAAAAAGTAAAATTAAAACTTCTTGTATATTAGTTTAGAAATGTTGCTAATTTAATTTTATTATTATGATATATTTTAATTTAATCATGCAATATTTTAATTGTTAGTATATATTACCTTCAGCTGGTGCTGGTTTTGCAGGCGCTCCTGTTGCTGCAATTTGTTACTCAATGTGTTAATTGTTCATGCAAATAAAAATATAAATTAAAAAAATTGAAACACCAATTAAACAAAAACAAAACCTAAACAAACTGGTTAATAACCTATTCCACAGATCAAACCAAATGGTATTTATGCTAAAATTTAGTTATTACATTACATTTGCCCCATTATATTTTAACCATGCTTAAACTATAAATTTACACAGTTTTAATAAACTTAAAGTCAAGCCTATATAAGAACCATTATTTACATTAACTATTGATGGGAATTATCATTTATCAATAACAAATCTATTAGTGACTCAAATCTTTCACAATATGAGTAAACAATTTTTAAACACCCACACTCAAACTTAGTAAAACCAAATAAAAAAAATTACACAAATACATACAATCATCTTTGAAATCTTTGAATGCGGCAACATCAGCTTGATTCTCCACAATAATACATAGAAGCTTTCCAACAGGAACACCCTTTGTGCCTTCGGGGATTAGAATTTTCGCTAAGTAACCTTCTTCAGGTGTTTCAAAACCCATTGTCGCCTTATCAGTTTCTATCTCACACAATAAGTCACCTGCAAAATAAAATAGTACATTGTAATTGTATTATCATTATACAAATAAGAATTTTATGAAGTGTATATTTTTAACAATATGCCACTAAGAAAACATCTTTATCAGCTCTCTAAACATCCCCACAAAAGGTCTTGGAGCCTACCCTAAGTTAAAGGTAACATCCTTATGGTGAAGGAAATCATTGTGAAGCAACCTGCAGACATCTACAAAGAAATGTAAAGATATGTGTGAAGTCAACCCATTGTGGACCAGCGTAATCTATACTATTATAATAAAGCGTAAACACACACTTCTTTGTTGTCTAAGATGTCAGCAATTATAGCATATTTTTGAATAATTCTGTCTTTAATGAAAAGCCATACACTTATGTCATGCTTTAGGCTATGTATTTTCACACCATTAAACTTAGGAGGTAAATATTTTGGATAAAAACCATAATGTGGGAAAGAGACCATAAGTTGCTGCCAACATCAAGAAAGATTGCTAAGGTTTGTCTTGTCATGTCATTTCATTTTGACATTTGGTATTGATATTTTAACAAATGAAAACAATAAAATAAATTTTTCATAATTCCATGCGGATAAAGCCACACGGTACCATCTAGTTAACTAATAAAACTTTATGGGACACCAAAAAACATTGATGTGTTATTATTCTCTAATTCACTGTTAAAGGAGAGTTGTTTGTTTGAATGAAGTAGACATAATTTTCACATCCATTTTGAAAGTTAAATAAAGGGTATAGCTTACTTAAGCAATTACTTAACTTTCAATTTACTCAATAAATAATTATACAATTTATTATCATGTTATTGCTGTGAATGCATATTAAGCTCTACAATTATATTTATCAAACAATATAGATGCTGTTTTTCTCTATTTCATTTTTATAGCTAAGATACCCTATTGGCTATACAATGTGAAGGTAAATTGCCAACCTTCAATATGTCATTTACATAAAAAACAAATTGTCATTTTATCAATTACTATTTGCCTTAGAGACAAATAACCTATTCATTAGCAGTTTTTTTTTGTCGACAGAACATAGCCTTAACTTTATATCTTCAACAAGGTTTACAATCTGAATTTGTAAATATTACAGAAATTAAATTATTTAAACTTTCGTGAGACATTTCATAACTAATTACTTAGTTTATAATTATTTATTTATTATTTATTAAGCCATAAAATAATAAGTTATTATAGAAATGTTTAAAAAAAAAGGTTTAGGAGATAACAAAGGAAAGAAGACCTCAATAATGTGATCATTAACACCTATGTAATAAAACTACTTTTGGTTTACTTTATTGTAACTCTTTTCACTGTGAGTTGACATAAGCACTAGTATATAAAGCAATTAGTTGAATTTATTTACCTTCACCGAGTTTATCTCCCTCTTTCTTTTCCCATCTCACAATGGATCCACTTTCCATAGTGGGTGAGAGTGCGGGCAGATTTACCTTGTTGTGGCTCGGCAAGTCTGAGTAGTAGCGAATTTGAGGTCTCCATTGCAGTGCCAATAACCCACTCTTTGATTCTGAGTTTACAAACCTTAAAGTGTATCACATTTTTTCATATGGAAAATTGTAAATATTGACAAGTTGTTAATTACAATTGGCATAATTTCCTAATATAAAACCCATAATAATTAAAATAAGTTTCATTAACATTTACTATCTTTTATCTCGCAAAATTACAAGGTAAATGTTGCACATGTTTCCATCGGATGACATTAATCAAGGTAACACGATTTGACGTTTTGGTTATGCAATTACCGCCGACAATCAGCGTATCTTTAAAAAGCTGGAACTACACATAAATAAGCAATTGTAGATTTAATAAATTAAAAAGCATTTACGCTATTTGATGTAATAACACTAAGAATACACTTACTTATTGGAACTTTTCCTCCTAATCAATTCCGTGGACATACATCTCGTAAGATTAACGCGAATAGCTTTTTTCAAACTTTCGCTCAAAACTTGGTTTCGCACAACAATCGTTCGGAGCATTTTGTATATTATTTTATACTACACTATTCCGTCCAGTTAGTCGGGACGGTATTATAGAAAGCCGTAAGATCGACCTTTACAAATTTGTAGGTCGTTGAAGTGAATCCGTCAACGGTCAATGACAAATTGACAGATGACATTACTCGATATGATGACAGTTTTTGATGTTACAAGTAACAGTTTAAAACCCTAGTTTTCCTCGCATAACTTTCTAAGTCCAGTATTAAGAAGATGCATCGACATTGAATAGAATTTTTAGATTAAGCTAGTTTTTTTGAAGGATTATGATAAAAAAATGTTACAATTTTAATGAAAAGACTGACTTTCGTACATACACTTCATTTTTCCATTTAAAAGCATTTTAATAATCTATGGTGCCATCAATGAAAATGTCTTGGCTATGATATAGTGTCACTGTCAAAAATATATGTCATTCCTCTTTTTCTGTCAACTGTTGTGTTAGGCAGGTTATTTTACAATGGTGAGAATTTTAATTTCTAAATATTTCAATAATCCATTATCGTTTTATTTCAAAATATGAAACATTTAAGTGAACGTTGTGCGTTTTCTCAGTTGTGCACGATATTTCGACATTCGCGAAGTTAGTTTATGTGATACAATAAACCAATTTGTTGTGATGTTTTCAGGCCAAACGTACAAAAAAGGTTGGAATTACCGGCAAGTATGGAACACGTTATGGTGCCTCATTGCGTAAAATGGTCAAAAAGATGGAAGTAACACAACATGCCAAGTACACTTGCTCTTTCTGTGGAAAGGTAAATAACTTGTATATTTCTTACATAGTCGATGTTGAGTCTACAGATACCGTTAGTTTATCTTTATAAATATATTTGTTTATATAAGAAATTGAACATTAATTCCAGTCATTTCAATTTTTCAACAACAATGTAAACACTACATTTTTATACAAAATCCAATCGTATCCCACACAGTTTGAGGTATCGTTTCTTTAAGTTAAGCATGATATTGCGTTATGTTGCATTTATACTATGGCTTTTATAGAAATGCAATTAGTGTTTACATGTATCAATAAGTGTTATGAAGTTTTATCTCAATTTTCTAGAAGACCAATGTATTAAAACTTAAGAATTTTACTATCTTACTAATATTGTAAATATAGGAGTTTAGACATTAGGTGGTTATCTCCAGAATGGCTCAATGAATCTAGATAAAATTAAGCATGATATAGAACAGAGTGAAAGAACACATAGACAATTTGTTAAGTTTTTTTATTTCTGTATTGGTGAAAACAGCCATAAGCTACTGAATTACATTACTAAATAAATTAATATTTATATTTTTAGGATGCCATGAAACGGTCTTGTGTGGGCATCTGGTCATGCAAACGCTGCAAAAGGACAGTGGCTGGAGGTGCATGGGTCTTCTCAACCACAGCTGCCTCATCCTGCCGCTCGGCAGTGAAGAGGTTACGTGAAGTCAAGTAAACACCTAGACTAAGTTAATAAACATTTAAAAACTATTTATTTTGTTTATTTTTATATTCCTATTTAATGTAAAATATGTTTTTCATACATGTATTTTGTTTTGTTAATGCTCAATTGATTACTTTGTTACATCTGTATATCTATTAATTTAATTATTGAGCCCCTAAACATTTAGGTATCAAAGTTGCAATATATTGTTGCTAACAGCTGTCAAATAAAGCCTTTAACTAAGATAATGTTTTATCCTTGGCAATGACAAAACTTGTGATAGCAGAACATAGTTTATTTTTGGCATTAAAATGTATCAGATCTAGACATTTATGACAACATGCCTATATGCTCAGAAATAAATGATACCTTAAATTGTAAAAATATTTATTGATATGATTTTATGTTATATAGCACCAAAAGGAGTTATTAAATTAAAACTGTAGATTAATTTATACATCAAAGATATAAGATAAAATGTAGACATTTAATAAACATTGAAAAAACACAAATGGCACAGTATTACAGATTCGTCAAGTAGTTATATACAAGTCTTTTTATATAATTTGAGCATTCAGTATAATACTGAGTAAATATTAATCACCTAAATCACTATCTTTATCACCAATAGCATATAAAACATGGAAGGCTATACCTAATAATGCTGTACCTAAAAGGTCACCTAATGCTGTTAAATATGGTATTGCAGAATTATCAGGATCCATACCTAATTTCCACATCCCCACTACCATGTAGTGACTTATTGTTAGTAAGAGAAACACCTGCAGGAGAGCAGCAGACATATAAATGAGAATAAAGATTGGAGTTAAAGAAGTATGGCCAGCTTTCAAATATTCAATAGTATGAATAAATATCAGTTGACTCGGGATAACCATAACCATTAGTAGCTTTGTAGTATTGCTCAAAACTGAATCCATTTTCTGTCCAGTGTGCAGTGATGTTGAAAGTCTAGATGCATGGACTGCTACCATGTTACCACCGATCCCATTAATAACCAATTGAAACACTGCAATACCTGAATAATTTGACACAGTGTAGTCCAAAATTAATCCACCTGCGCTACTTATAACCATTGCAGACACCACAGGAACCCACCCCTCATCTAAAGCTTGTCTTGTGAATTTATTCTCATACGCTATGTATCCACAAACTGGCACCAGAATTAAACCACCAATTATGATTATAGAAGGCAATAATATACTTGAACCTATTGTCCTGTGTAAGAGAGATGCTATCCAAGATAACAGTGCTAATGTTGTTAAATCACCTAAACTTGCTGCTATAGGTGTAGCTACATTATCAGGATTTATGTCCATCTGTTTAGAAAGCACTATCACACCAATCATTATTAAACCAAGCACCAGACTTGCAAATGAAGCTGTTAAGACACTTGAAGCACATAGTAACATGGCATGATGGATATCAAACTGGCCATCAGGTATCCAACCCATAGCCACTGCGGCCATAGCAGCTAAAAACCCAACAAGAACCGCTTGACACTGAATGAGGCACATGTTTCCCACAATCAATGACCCAAGATTGTTATCAATGTGTCCTAAATGAGCGTGTGTAGACAGTCTTGATGCTAGAGTCATTTCTAAGTTTCCTTTTAAACCTAACAGAGCTGGAACTAAAATGTATACTTCTGATACTACTTGAAAGACATTCCAATGTTGTACTTTATCAAGTAATAAACTGGCTGCAACCATTCCATATCCGGCGAGCAGAAACGACACGAACATTTGAACGCCTGCAGTCCAAGAGTTTTCATATTTAGGTTCAGGCGGTTTGTTCGAATTCGCAATGAGTCTGCACACATCTGCGTGTACATCGGTCTCATTTGTACTTTCGGAATTCCTTGGCATTCTAGTATTATTCTTTATTCTGTTCATGATGACAAAATGTGTAAGGATTATTAAATAAAATACTAATAAAAGTATAGAAAATGATGACGTACTATGTAGGAGGCATTAAAGCCGTGTAGCTTCATCAATTTAGTCCATATTTTTGTAGATTGAACATCTTTTCTAGTTAATGTGGTCAAACCTCGTAAATGTTTTCCTCTGCTTTAGGGTACTACTTTTTGTTTGCAGACGCTGATCTACTTGTTAAATTTCAACGTAGCACCATAATTTTCTTAATTAGAATTAAAATTGAAAAATAAAGATATGATCTAGATAAAACGTATCTTATATACGTAAACACTGATTCTATTGGTTAAAAATAAAACGCCAATATTTTCCTGAATTCGCATTGGCTGTAAAAAAATAATCTGGAAAGGAAATCACCAATCAGCAGTATTTCCAATACATTAGGTCTGACAATGACATTGACATGTCAGAAAATCTCTTTGTTTTTAATTTTTAGAGTGGACCTGTACAAAAATTCGACCTCGAGGTGATCCTTTTTGATCACAAAAATGAATTATGCAGTACACTTGTACCAAAAGCATAAAATCAATCTTTGTTATCAAAAGTAAAATATAACAATTTTTGAGAAGCCACTGACCTCAATATATAGACCGGTTTTCGAAATGTGAGGTTTCGTGGTTATGTGATTTTCGCCATTGTGGCGCTAACGGAATGTGGCGGTGGGGAAATAATTAGCAATAGCATTTATTTTCAGTAATAATAAAAGGTGCGTTAAAGTTGGAACAAACTAAAGACTGTCATTTTCAAGCAGTCATCTATCCATTTACTTAGAGATCAGTGATTCCGCATCACGTATCCGATCATAGAGGACAGGACACGGCATTCGACATTTGAGATAGAAAGTTTGACGTATTGACGTTTACGATTTACCTCAGCACAGCAAAACGTTTACTTAGTGGAACTGCTTTTAAAATAATCAAATAGATTATTTAATGTGTGTAAACATTAAACTGTAAATTGGGTAACAAATTTTTATTTAGCAATACTGTAAACACTTTGTACTTTTTAAAAATTGTGTATATTTGTCACTTCAATCTTAAAACCTACTTTTATCTAATTGTGTGTTATATACCCTATTGTATCTTATTAGCAAATATTGTGTTGTGGTGACTAAAAGCAGTGTTTATGTTGATGTTTGTGACATAAAAGTGGTTTAAATCATCAGTAAGCTAAGTTGATTTGCTTATACTTTTGTTGTTTGTAGGTCCGCGGCGAGTCAAGTTGTCACTTTTATCGGAACTGACATGTGGCACTGAAAAGAAACTTTACTTTGATTTTTGTTTAGTTAAAATGTTTCGAAGTAAAATAAGAATACACACGTGTCGCATTATATTATTAACATCGTTAGTTTGGTTGCTAGTGGACGTCGCGCTCTTAGCTATCTACTCCGACTGCTTCGGCGATGGTTGTGGTAAAAAGACAAATGAAGTTGTTGTCAGGGTAAGTTTATACATTTGAACATTTTTAAAATGTTACAAACATGTAAATCTTCCATTATATATCCATATACATGATCTCCATTTACATACTATAGATGTTCATTCATGTTGAAGACCTATTATTTAAAAACAATTTTCATTTAGGGGGCTTCCATAAATTATGTGATGTGTTTTTTTTAATTATCTGCCCCTCAGATTTTATTCAACCCTAATCTCACATGAGATTTTTCAAAATGTACGATCTGGACTAAATGGACCAAAATAGTACCATTTTTTTTGTTCAGAAAAAAAAATGCGTGATATTTTTCGAGACGCCCCCTTCTCTCCAACGTAAGATTAGATGAGATTGGACTCGACCCCCTCCCCTCTTAAACACCTCACATAAATTATGGATGCCCTCTTACATTATTTCAATGACTCACATCAATATAACAGTATTTATATAGAAATGATATATAACATGATAGAACATTCCTTTCATTAATAGAAATTCTTGAATGAAATATTACTTGCTTACATATAGATACTTGGATTTTCCCACACAATTTTTTAATGTAGTTAGTGGTCATGACCTAAGTTTAGTTGTTTAGCAAATAGATCTTGTTTTAATTAATTTATATTAAAACTCATCATCATCAGGCTTTATAAATTGTTTTGCTAAATAATGTCATCACATAATATAAATTGTTCATTAAAGTAATAGATAATATTAGTATAATTTACATAATTGCCATATGAATCACAGTACAAAAAAGTGAAAGTGAATGTAATAGGGAGCTAGGTTCCTAGAAACTGTTTGCATACACAATTTACAATTGAATGTTGTATAACTTGGAATAACATCGAACATTGCTCATAATTTAACTTTGTAAAATTAGGAAAAAAATATATACATTGTGGTACATTCTGGTGTCCTAAAAATAACTTGCTAAAATTTCATTAAATTGTGTCTACTGATTTAGATATGTAGAGGAGACAAATAAAAATATATATCCAAAACAGCTTAATAGATCTTGATGGAATTAGGCAGAGATATTGAACATAATATGGAAGGAGATATACTTATAAAGTTTTTCTTTGGGTGTAAACAAAGTAGGTGGCAAAAATCAGTTATGTTATAAGTAATCAGAGTTTTTATTTTAGAGTAAAGATGCAGAAGAGCTGCGTGGTAAAAGGGGTGCAATAGCAGCCGCTTTAAGAAGTAAAGCAGAAGATGATGAAACTAATTTAGAAGAGAATGAAATAGAGCAGGATATTGGTGATGAGGGGTTAATGTTGGCTCCATATCCAAAGTCACGGCTAAAGAGGTGGTCAGTGGTGCGGCCTGTGAAGCCGCAAGGAGACTCTCCTGGAGAAATGGGTATGATTAAATACCACATTTATAAATATCATTACAAAATAGCATAACTAAATTTATTGGCAACCCTATAGTAGAGTGGTTTCTAATATCCATTAGCAAAGATTGCTAAATCTCTAAAGAACTTAGGGCTGGCACAATCTAGTGTGTAATATGTGGTGAAAATGATTTACATTTTAGGTAAAGCTGTGAACATTCCAATAGAACAAGAGAAACTTATGTTGGACAAATTCCAGGAGAACCAATTTAATTTGTTAGCTAGTGATATGATCTCTTTGAATAGATCACTAACTGATGTCAGATTTGAAAAGTAAGTCAAATATAAAGAAGTATACCAAAAGAAACAAGCAATAATATCTATTTATTCTTTTTTACCACTTATGCTTCTTAAAGCAAGTAATTACAACCAAGTTGCTGTATTTATTTTGGTATATCTTTTTATTGTATTATTACTAAAAACCTTATGTTTTCTAGATGTAAAGGAAAATCGTACCCAGATTTATTGCCTACAACTAGTGTTGTGATTGTCTTCCACAATGAGGCTTGGACAACTCTTATCAGAACCATTTGGAGTACTATAAACCGATCACCTCGGCCATTGCTCAAAGAGATTATTTTAGTAGATGACGCAAGTGAAAAAGGTAAGTTTAACTATAATTACTTAAAACAATAAATGCAATGATTTCCCAGTTTTAATGTGAAAAGAATATTATAAAAATTGTATATTTTATGTTAGTAGTTTTGATTATTTGCTAATATTTCTTGTACCATTCCAACTAAATTTGTGCTACGATACGCTTTACGACAAAAGTCGAATGGATTCAAATCCTCCACCACATAATGGGAAATCCGCACCTTTAACCATTAGGCTATAGATACTTCTGTGCTATTTGTAGGAGATTTACTTATCACTCAATCCAGTCTAGATTCTAGATAAATTAAAATCCTTTCTATTTACACTTTATTAGGGATCTTTTCAAATCAAGATGTTTAGGGCCTGTCCCACCACTGGCTGATAGAGGCTCAGATAGCTAAATGATGTCACGTTCAGATAAGGTAGCAAAAACCGATATTTTCTTTACAAATTTTACATAACGGATTTATATCGGACAATTTACAATTTGGTGGGACAGACCCATTAAACATTTTACATGATGACTACCAGTGTAAAATATTGTATGATACTGTTTTTACATACATTGTGCAAAGAAATCTTTATAGGTTACTAGTTAAGTTTACTTAGGTCTTGTAATATGAGTGTACAGATGGAAGACATGAACTCAACCACTTGGCCGTTACTAGCTACTATATAAATATAACTTTTGTTCTCACATAAAAATTCCACTATTAATCATAAATTAAACAATAGTATTTATTCATTTTTATCTTATTGCTTTTTTAATATGTTTGTTTTTAAATAATAATTACCATAAATTACAGTAATATTAATTCAGCTGTGCTTATGTACATTATGTACATTCATGATCAATGGTGTAATTCTTGTATGTCACTACAATTAAATATTAAATAATAAACTGTTTACTATAAGAAACTATAAAGACAATAAAAATAACACATTGTTCAGCTTTTGTTTTACAATTTGCTAAGTTTGTGGGTTCAGTTGATATTTAAATAATGTAGGGCATTTTTTACAAAATCTGTACCAAACAAAATTACTTTGATCCACCATAACAAGAACAACTCGATCTTGTACTTTATTTTGATTTTCATTTAAACTTAACGCTGAGATAAATTAATGGATATCAGAAAACTATATATTTCTATGTAGTGGTTTATCGCCTTTTAATGATAAAAGGTGAAAACATAAAAATTAACGTTGTTATCAAATCAATCATTTTTTATTGAAATACGTAAAATAGTCTTTTTTACCGCAAGCATAATGTTTTGGGACACGGGCTACCTATCTAACTGTTATGGGTTCGAATCTCGATATTCTATCGTCGTTAACCATATCAATACAAGCTTTTACGTTTACCTGAAATTGTTAAAAGAAGTATTATTAAATTGACAAAAATCTATAAAAAATGCTTGTTTTTACGTTAATAACATACAGACTGAGTTAGTTGAGAGTAAAAAATATTCTTAATTTGTGTATACAGTGCTGTTCGTATATTTTTTACATCCTCTTTCGATATCCAGCTCATAATTTCCTATAACTATGAATGAAATAACCAATTGTAATTAAAAAATATTCTTATGATAGTAGTAGTTAACCAGTCTCAATAGCATTAACATATAATTTACGATTATTTAGAACACTTGGGCAAAAAATTAGAGGACTATATAAAAACGCTGCCAGTGCCAACGCATCTTTTCCGAACGGAAAATCGCTCAGGACTTATCAGGGCCCGGCTTTTGGGCGCAAAACATGTACAAGGAGATGTTATTACGTTCTTGGATGCACATTGTGAATGCACGGGTAAGTTATATGATAATTTTTAACGTTTTTTAAAATCTTAATTTTGGTTATATGACTCAGTATCGGCTTAATAATTAAAAGTCAAGTGGGTATTTGAGGTCAAGAAACATTTAAGAATGATTGACTCTTTAATATTGCTTATTGAAGCGGTTGTTTTAGTTTTTTAGTGTTATTTTTGGTCAATAGTGATTTAGATGAAATTTGCGGTATCAATTATTATGAAGTAATTAATCAAATTTTGGTGTTGTATTTGAGAAATTATTATGTCGGGGATAGGAGACATTTATTTTACTAATATTATAAATGCGAAAGTTTAGATAGATGGATTATTGTTAGTTTGTAGCCTAAACGACTGATCTCAATGAAATTTGGCACAGACGTAGATAGTCTGGAAGAACGCATATGCTCTCTTTTGTTTTTTTTTTTAATTCCACGCAGACAGAGTCTCGGTCAAAAGCTAGTGTTTTATACATATGTGACTACTCGGGGACTTTTTTTTTTGATAATCTATAAAAAAATGTTTGTTTTAATAGAGGGTTGGTTGGAGCCTTTATTAGCGAGGATAGTGGAAGACCGTACGACGGTGGTGTGTCCCATCATTGACGTCATCTCGGACACCACCTTCGAGTACATCCAGGCCTCGGATATGACGTGGGGTGGATTCAATTGGAAATTAAACTTTAGATGGTATGTATAAAGTTCATATTACATTAAACCCTTTGTTATATAAAATACAGGAAGTATCTAGTTGTCATTGGCTACAAGATAACTTGGAAAATGCACTGTTTATCCATTACATTTCCTGTTAACTTTTGTTGGCGCTATTAATATATTTTTATCTATGACTAGAACTGTGTTATCAAGTAATTTATAGTTGATTTTATGCTTTTTGTCTATTTAATCCCGATTCCATCTTAGAGTTGATACTCGTAAAAATACTTCATTATAAATTTATTTGCTTTAAGCATAAAGTGTAACCCTTTCTGTGCTGACGGAAATTTCCGTATATTTTTAGCGTGTTCCCACAATCGAATATAATAACATCTAGTGTCATTGACCTTTCAAGGTTATATTTGCATTTGAATTTTATCAAAAGTATTGTGACGCTACACATACCTCGTCTATGATTTGCGCATGAAACTGTTTTCTGAGTGACTGATATGTTATTTACAACTATAAGAATCCTACCACTGGCTGATAGAGGCTCAGATAGCTTAAAAATGTCGTCTCAAAATCCGTAATTTCCATCACATATTTTACACGTTAGATTATTATCAGACAATTTATAATTTGGTGGGACAGGCCTTATTTTATTGGGATTAAATCAATATCTGATACAATAACTGCTAACTATAAATAGGTTACCAGTTAGCAATCAACTTACCGCACTCAAGGCTAGGACGTTATACAAACCTATTTTGATTGCATAATACTATTGTTCTCGACTTCTCAAATGAAACTCCATTTATTTCTACACTAAATTGAATGAAATTTTTGTAGATTATCCTTACATTGTTAAAAAAAGTATTGCGATCTTGAAACTACTTCAATAGTAATAAATAAATATTTTCGCAAATTGATTTATGATTTAATGTCAATATTAATGTTGGTTATTTACTTTAATAGAAAAAGAAACTAATACAATAATTTTCAAATACAAAGAAGTCGATAAAAGTCCGACTGTTTCTTCTACATTATAAATTGAATCATCAAACGCATTGATTCTATAAAGTTATACGGACGTTTAAATTAATTTTGTATGGTTACAAAAAGAAATCTAATACGTCATTCATGCTTGTAAATTTCTCCACGTTAATCTTGTTACTCGCAGAATCTTTGATTATTTTAGTAGCTTTTACTTTAATGCAATGTTTTGCAATAAATAATTTATTATTATCTAAAAACGTACTTAGCACTTTTACGAAGTCATGTAACATGCCTTTCAAACTTTTTGTTATTAAATTGCAATAAAAATTAGATAAAAAAAAAACAAATTCAGACGCTTGCAAAGCTATAATGTTTATAGGTTACTATTTAAGTGCGAACCTGAAACTAAACTATCGCACAACTGGTTAGTCTCGCTTTGTTTCCTATGAGTTTATATGTGTGCACGCTTGATTTTTAGTTGTGTAACTAAACAGTTGAATTGGCGAAACAATCGACGATCGCACAACAGTTGTGCTATAGTTTAGTCAAAGTTGTGCCACTGTTTTTTGTTATAATATAAGGTGGCAAACGAGCAAGCGGCCACCTGAATCCACCGAAATGGAAAGCGACATGCCCATAAACATCCTCAATTGCAGATGCGTCGCTACCCTTAATTGACGGAGGAGGAGACGCACATTAACAGGATATTTCCCCTTCCTATGCGTCTCCTTCACCGTCAAATCCAATTAGACTCTAAGTATTCATGGTTCAGGTACCGCGTCCCCGAGCGTGAGATGTCTCGTCGCGGCGGGGACCGCACGGCGCCGCTGCGCACGCCCACCATGGCGGGCGGCTTGTTCGCTATCGACCGAGACTACTTCTATAAAATCGGCTCCTATGACGAGGGCATGGACATCTGGGGCGGGGAGAACCTCGAGATGAGCTTCCGGGTATCGTATGCATTCACTAACTGATGGCTGATTGTCTTGTTTGTTGGAAAAGAAGTATTGGAAGTTCGTAATTATAAAATACAGCAGATATTTAAGTTAGATTTGAGATTAACGATTTATTCAGAGAATATTAGAATAAGAAAGTAAGGATAAGATAGTTCTATGTTGAAACCCAATAGTATATTGATGATTATGGATTTCCGAGCACGAGGTCGAAAGATTGAATCTCGCCATTTGACTATTGTAAACCATGTTATAGCAAAATACGTTAAACATTAAAAATTAACTAAAAACGTCTATTAAATTGAGCAGAGTGTGGGCCCTTTTGGTACATTTTTTTATTTCATTCATATTTTGTTATACTTAACACTTAAATTGTCTTATATTCTTATGCGAGTCATGCTATCTCATGAGGTGAGGTAGTGAGATTGTGAGATGTATGGTGAGCGTGACGTCAATGCGGTGAGGTAGCGAGGTAGTGAGGTAAAGATGTATGGTGAGCGTGACGTCACGTGCGGTGAGGTAGCGAGGTAGTGAGGTGGTGAGGTGGTGCGTGCGAAGGTGTGGCAGTGCGGCGGGTCGCTGGAGATCGTGCCGTGCTCGCACGTGGGCCACGTGTTCCGCGACAAGTCGCCGTACTCGTTCCCCGGCGGGGTGCAGAACATCGTGCTGCACAACGCGGCGCGCGTCGCCGAAGTCTGGATGGACGAGTGGGGCGAGTTCTATTACGCCATGAACCCAGGTTCGATGCTTGGTTATGTGCCGGGGCCGTTCACATTTTGCTGCTTTAAATCTAAGTTAAAAATTCCGTTAGAAGAGAACAAAAGTAACAAATGTTTTCCTACCTAGACTTTACAGTTAATTTTAAAAGATTTAAAGTGTGATATAGTTTAGAACCTTTAGGCTTATGTTTTTGATGATCTGAATTGCAGTTTTTACTTAATAAAATTGTAAGCAAAATGATAACGGTCTATAGGTACAATGATAAAGTTTTGTTGTGGCTTGGGATAACATTCAAATAATGCGGATGTGTTTTGTGAAATTCTTATTAACACTAAAATTAAATATCGAGCTTCTTAACGTCCAGTTAACCGCCATTGCAGCTGCATTTTATTTATTACTTGCATGCTTATTTCGCCATACTTTTCTATTTCTTTTTTTGTTTCTCTTAAAGCCTTTCAGACATTACGTTTTTCTCATATTTTTTTGCTGTTTTTATACCTTTTTTTTCTTTATTATTCTCACGCTTCTTCGTAATGCAGAAGCAATGAAGAGTGTTTTGGATAAATACATATTTAAAAAAAATAGGTCTATAACCACAGCAACACTTGTCGCGTAAAGAGCTGTGGCACATGATGAACTTTCCGTTTATTTAACCTAGATACATAATTCACATCTACCAAATATAGAAGTATCAAGTCTATTGTAGTGGGCGTCTGAATCAAGTTTAAATGCTTGTATTCAATAACTTAAGATTTTTTTTACCTTTATAATATTATAGTATATGTTGGACCAATAAATATTAAATCGATTGTTATTACTTAATATGACAGGTAAATTTGTAGTTGAACAGAATAGTGTGTTCTGTTCACTTTTACTGGAAGTTAAGTAATAAAAAATGCATAACAGTGCGTGTGTGTAGAACGAATCAGTCTGTAATACCGGGAAATCGATTTGCATTAACTCATTGAGTAATAATTAAATTAATTCCATTCATTCATCTTATAATCATACTTCATACTAATATTATAAATGCGAAAGTTTAGATGGATAGATGTTTGTTAGACTTTGTAGCCTAAACTGCTTAACGGATCTCGATGAAATTCGGCAGATGTGTAGAGGATAGTCTGGAAGAACACTTAGGCTACTGACATTTTTTTAATCTACCCGGACGGAGTCGCGGGCGACAGCTAGTAATAGTATAAAACTGTTTTCTGATGGTGTCAATTTAAGAAATAGGTAATTATTTTTAATATTAGCATATTATTATTATTAATATTTATTAAACGGAACTGTGCCACAATTCTTTACTCATCATGGCTTAATAGAATCGATTCGAATGACATAATTGTTTTTAACATCAAATTAACATTCCACGCCGATGTTTAACATGTCGTAATCAAAACTAATGCCTATCTAATTTAACATAATTAACTAATCGGTTTAATTAAGACATTTTTTCAAGCAATATAAGTGTCTTAATAACTTTAAACACAGGCATATTTTATGTAATCAAAATCTCTTTAGAAAGCGAATCTTTTTGTTTTCGTGAGATAGTTATATTGCTTGTCAAAATGAGGGATAAAATAATATGTTTGTGTGTGATAACATTGTTTGTACCGTGTTTTAATCATTCAGCTTGTGACAGGAGTCACTAACAATGCATTGCGTCATCAATAAACAAAATTCACCACACTATTGTTTTTGCTCACCAATAAAACATGCTGCCGTACTGATTCTACAAAGTCATAGCAGATGAAAATTTACGTTGAAATACTATTAATTCGCGGGGTCAATTCATAAATTTTGTGATACGCTAATTGCACAGATCGTGTGAAGATATGATGCAAATAAAATGGAAATAACGAAAATGTGTGCTTCTCAAACTTTGCTATTTACTGGTATAAGTATTTGAAACTCGTAGATGACAAACTTTATGTGAATTTCAAAGTGATTTGCGAGCGTTTTTGGATAAAAATCAAGCTGGGTTTATCATATCATCTTTATTATAAGTTTAATAAATGTTATTAAAGTACATAAAATTATCATATCAATATATTAGATTAATCTATTAGATGTAAAAAAAAAAATTATTCCGTAATTTGTACGCGAATCTATAGTTTGAGAAGCACTGTCTCCATGAATTGGTAAGAATAAATTTGATTTAATTTTTGTACAAAACACACGCTGACAACGTTTGACACAAGCTGGTGAATTTTGTTGCATAACATGGTCGAGGTAATGGGTATTTACGTAACTTGACACGTCTCGAATAACGCTGCCCAGAATCGTAGGACGTGAAACCTTCAAAATAAACTAAAACTGAACAATATTTATTACTACGGTCAACAGGTCAAACGATGTCTTTATTCATATTAGTCAATAATTAACATATATCTACATTATGTTAATCAGATTATCATATAAATTATGATATAGATTTCGCTGTAATATTGTATACGACATAAATATTACGTGGTTTTTGAAATTTCACATCACCACCATCACATTCACCTCATTTTATCACAATGTAAAATTTATTTGCAGCGTGCTATTAAAAACAACTCTTGATAACGTGAAATATGACTTGATAAGTTTCGGTTTTTGAAGTAATAAAAAAATAATTCATAAAGAAATAAAAAAGAGAAATCAAACTAACGATTTTAATATTGAGGGACAAAAAATGACCTCGAATATAATTTTTGGATATCAATTTTTTGAAATCGCTAAAATTTATTAAAAACCGCGTAAATGTCTGGGTATTCGCGACGTGTCGGGTGACGTGTGGGGCGTGCGGGGCAGGTGTGGCAGTGCGGCGGGCGGCTGGAGATCGCGCCGTGTGCGCACGTGGGCCACGTGTTCCGCAAGACCACGCCCTACAGCTTCCCCGGCGGCACGGGCCGCGTCGTCAACCACAACAACGCCCGCCTCGCCGAAGTCTGGCTCGACGAATGGAAGCATTTCTACTACAATATCAACCCAGGTCTCATGCTTACGCTGAATCTTTGTTTTCGCTACCATTTGCTGAGCTTTTGCTTTGCTAACTCGTTTAACGCAATGGTGTGACCTGCTCTAGCGAAAATTAAGATTCAGTATAAGAGGGCTGATTTACAAATGTTTTTAGATTTGAAATAACGTTTTGAAACAGTAAACTGAGACATGTCAATTGAATTGCATTATAAAACCTTATTTCTAAATAATTTGACCAATTATTTTTTTAAGTCGCTTAATCCAAGTCAAACTTTTAAACCATTAACTTAACTAATAACTGATTTGCTTTTTAACTTGCATATTCTTTGTTTAATGCTTATTTTATTCGCAAGAAGTAAGTTTATGAAACTATTTTTGCACCATAAATGACTTAATAATAGCGCCCAAAATAAACTAATTTAACTGAAGATGTAACAGTTATAAAGTAACAGTTACAGTTATGAAAATATTACTCTGACCTATGTAACTATTTCGGAATACTGTTTCACTATTGTTGTTTTGCATGTAATTTCTAAAAAAATTCAGTTAACAAATTTTCATTGCATGCTCTGAGAAAATAATACTTTTCATTAACTTGGATAATTTTAGATAACAATTAATTTCCATAACCATTTAGATAATACAATTGTTTAAGACATTTTCTGCTACGGGTGATTCATTTTTCGCATTTTGTGTATTTTTAATATATTGTGTACGAGAATACCTATTTTTATAATGTATATGGAAACACATATATTATCGAATTATTAAAATTTAATATTTTCGTTACGAAATAAGCATGCATGTATACGCAAAACATTACGTATTGCTTGAAAGTTCTACATGCTTCTAAAATATTTGAGTATACTTGGTGTTATTGGGTGCAGGTGCACTAAACGTGCCCGTTGGTGACGTCAGCGAGCGCAAGGCGCTAAGACAAAGACTCAAGTGTAAGAGCTTCCGATGGTATTTGGAGAATATTTACCCTGAGAGTCAGATGCCTTTGGACTACTACTTTTTGGGAGAGGTAAGTTATCATTATAGCGTTTTAGAAAGAATTTAAGATTTTGTTGTAACACATTAGAATTTTAGTGTAAAAGATTTAGGGCCTGTCCAACCACTGGCTGATTGCTCAGATAGCTTAAAAATGACGTGACTGTCAGATAAGGGAACAAAATCCGATATTTTAGACGTTGGATTGTTCTTCAGGCAATTTAGAATTTGGTGGGACATGCCCTTAGTATGTTAAAAGAATTTAAGTATTCGTTGTAACACATTAGAATTTTAGTGTAAAAGTTTTAGTATTTAATACTAAATAGCGTGTAATTCTTCTAATGGAGTTATTTATAGTTATGACAAATTGTAGAAATAAAAAGATTTTTTTTTTCATATATATATCGAATAATAATTGGATCTCAGCTGAATCAGAAAACAAATATGCAAATGTAATAAAAAAATCTGCAAACTGGTTTCTTACCCGAAGATACCGGATTTAGTGTAGAATCGGTCGCTTTGATTTACGATAAAAATCGATTCGGTAAACGACAACGTTTGGCCTTGACCGATTTTTATGAATTAATATTATTGTTATTGAGATATCGATGAAATATGTGTTAATTTTTGATGCTATATTAAGTCATATATGACAGTTATTGTTTTGAATATCGTAATCTGCATATTTGCTTAATTTAACTGTGGTCTACTTTAAATTGCTTTGTGGACCGTGATAATGGATTACGTTAAATAAAAGTCCCCCTGAAATAAAGGCTTGTAACGCCCGAGGTTTGGAGTGTACTTAAATCTTACTAATATTATAAAAGCGAAAGTTTAGATGGATGGATGGATGTTTGTTAGAGTTTGTAGCTTAAACTCCTAAACGGATCTCGATGAAATTTGGCTTAGATGTAGACGATAGTCTGGAAGAACACATAGACTACTTATTCTTGTTTTTTAATTCCAAGCAGACGGAGTCGCGGGCGTAAGCTAGTAAATCATATTCGCACTACAAGTATAATGGATGTTACAATATAACTGAAAGGATTAACAAATCTAAATGACATTTTGTATATTTATTAATGAAATGTGGAGTGCATAGGCTCATTTTAGAATCTCTCTAATGAAGTCGCGGGTTAGTAAATGGATTTACGTCCATTTTCAGATACGTAATGCGGAGACGTCCAACTGCTTGGACACTATGGGCGGCAAAGCGGGACAGCCGCTGGGTATGGGCTACTGTCATGGAATGGGCGGCAACCAGGTGTTTGCTTACACGAAGCGTAAGCAGATCATGTCGGATGATAACTGCTTGGACGCGGCGCACCCGCGCGGCCCTGTCAAACTCATTCGCTGTCACGGCATGCGCGGGAACCAGGAGTGGACTTACGATGTTAAGGTCAGTTTTCACTTATTCTTACTTGCTAAAGAGTCCACTTTTTATAAGGAAATGATGAGAAGGTAAAGTTTGTCGTAAGAGACGCATAGGAAGGGGATATGTCCTCTTTCTGTACATCTCTGCAATGAAAGATGTCTTTGGGCACGCAAATTCAGGTGATCGATTGTTGGTCAACTCACTTTGGATTTTAATATAAAAAAAAGTTTTATCGGCCGTATCATTATCTTCAAAAATTTATATGTTTTCTGAGAATGACATAGTGCTATATTGTTTGTTTTATACTATTTTATGTTGTTATACCAATTGGGAAAACAGTAATAGGTATTTCGTAACTGTTCTCAGACATTTCACCTATTCTTGTGTAAATTCTAATAGAAATTATATCTGTTAAAAGTGTAGAATCTTTGTTATAATGAAAATTAGTTAAACACATGTAAGAATGCAAATATCGTTGTTGATATAGCCTTGTCGGTTATATTGCAGCTATAAAATATTGATAATGGCCCACAGTGTACAAAACCGCGGCTCTAGGCCGTGATTAGCATATTCAAACAATTACTAATTCATCATTTTTTTGCGATTCTTGGAGTTTGAATGTTGTAAAAGTATTTGTCGTCTAATAAACCTAAAAATGTACATTTAAAATGGTATCCCTTAAATATTTTCTTCCTTCAATAGAAAAAAATTAATTTTAAATTTCTGTACGCATGTTGGATAGTCTTGTATTTATAATTTTACTCCAAATTCGAGTTGTTCGGGTTCAAAGGTTTTTGACTAACTATATTAAAGCAAGTAATTCACTGACCTCTATACATGGACAGGCTATAAGTTGAAGTATTTTGTGTTTAAACTTTCACCATTTTGGCGTTGACTGTAACAGAGTTAACTACCAGTAAGAATCTGTTTTTTGAAGTCGAAAGATAAGCTGATTCCTAATTAGCGATCTGTCTATTTTACTTCTGACTTATCATACTAATATTATAAATGCGAAAGTTTAGATGGATGGATGTTAGAGTTTGTAGCCTAAACTGCAGAACGGATTTCGATGATTTTGCATAGATGTAGAACATAGTCTGAAAGAACACATACAGTAGAACCTCGATAACTCAAACCTTGATAAGTTAAAACCTCTTTAACTTAAAAAAATAATATATTCTCTTCCTATCAGAACCCACAACCTCTATAACATAGACCCTTGATAACTTGAAACCCCCATAAGTTAAAATACTTTGTGTTTCCCTTGGACTTTAACTTATCGAGGTTCTACTGTATTTATTTTTTTAATTGCGCACGGACGGAGTCGAAGGCGAAAGCTAGTCTAAAATAAGGAATGTATGCGGTGTATTGCAGACACGCACGATAAAGCACAGCAACACCGGCATGTGCCTGGAGAAGCCGGAGACGGGCGACGTGTGGAAGCCGGTGCTGCGCGCGTGCTCGCGGGCGCGCGCGCAGCAGTGGCTCATGCAGGTCGACTTCAAGTGGCAGGCGCGCCACGCCGAGCGGCCCAGCTAGTCCACTTGTGAGTACACACTTGGAGGCCCAACTTTACTCCCTTTTCATTACCACTCTTTTTCTCATAATAGGATGGAAAGGGGACGTGAATTTGACAGTGAAGGAGACGCATAGGAGGAGGAAATATCCTCTTTACGTGCGTCTCCTCCTCTGTCGATTAAGGGTAGGCAACTTATTCGCTATCGCGGATGCCTATGGGCAGCGGTCACTTCGCCATTTTGGCGGATTCAGGTGGCCGCTTGCTCGTTTGCCACCTTATAATATGTAAAAAATCACACCGCCATCTAACACACTAACTACCTGTTTTACTACATTTATGCAGATTTTTTTTAAATCTTTATAGCTTTCATTCATGTAGGAAGCGCTCTTCTTGTACTCTTATGTTATTGACCGGTTGAAACTAGTTTAACTTAGTTAAATAACACACTCCAATATTGAAATTCGAAAGTTTAGATGGATAGATGATGGAGTTTCCCACCTAAATGGTTGAACGGATCTCAATGAAATTTGGCACAGATGTTGATAATGGAAGAACATATAGGCTACTTATTTTTTTTAATTCAACGCAGACGGAGTCGAAGACGAAAATTAGTAACTTTATATGTTTGTAATTTTGCGACCTCTCCCTCGAGTAGATGTACAGAGACGAAGTTGATAAGAATATATTTAAAATAGGCAACTAAAAATATATTTGTATTATGTTTCAGGAACAACCATAGACCATCAAAGTCTTCCCCTGTCGTTAGTAATATCAGATTTTATTCCTTATTCCTATATCAGAAGTAATGTAATTAGATGTATCTCGGCGCTCGGCCCACGTGAATTGTTGACAATACGATAAGAATGCTGTAAGATTTTCTATTCCATAATAAAATATGTAAAAAGTTGCTCAAACTTGGCATATATGCTACATTGTAAATTTTACTGTCCTGTTTGTTTGCGTGAATGTGGATTTTATATCCAATATTATTATTTGTTGCAACAATTCAAATAAATTGAGATTATTTTAAATTTTTCGACTGGTAACACTCAGAGTTTATAAAAGCACAAATCTCCCGAATAAAATATTAATAAACAACAGTGTTACTGTTATACTTCCATTGAGTGTGCTAAGATAATAAATTTATTTAAAATACTCCGAAAACTAGAATTTGAGATTATAAAACACCTGTTTACTACAGTTATATATTTTAAAATTGTTAGTAAAGACAGATATAATGTAAGAGTTACTCGTAGTCTAGTTTGTCTATGGACATGTGCCCCTTCCATTGTCTATGGTTCGCTGTCATTGTACAGGGTCAAAAATATTAATTAAACTGTACAAGTGCCTGTCCATTCCTTGATATCCATTATTTTTAAATAGCATTTATACATTTTCCATAATCAAATGTTAATTCTAGTACACAATTTTAGTATGAAAATTAAGTGTTCATAGTCTGTTGATAGAATTTACTAGTAATCGAGATTTTGACTAATGTTATGATAAAAGACGTAGTTTTTTTTACTAGAAAATTCCCTGGCAGTTAAATTTGACTATTTAAATTTTTTTTATTTTGACGAAATTGCGGTGCTAATTTTAAGTAGTTTATTTTGAAATTATTCAGTACTCTTGACATAAAATAAGCGGCACTATTTTGTGCCATATTTATTGCCTATCCGCCCTTTTTGCCCATTTATTTAGCTTCCTATACTTAGCTTATGTTTATGTAAAATTTATTATATAGACTTCGTTATAGCTTCCGAGATTTTAAATATAGTTCCAGTGATATCTAGGAATTGTCGTACATATCTGTTTGTTTAAAACTAGAATTTAATTTATATAATGTAATAATCATATTTACGCCATGTTCTTGAAATGTATTCTTAATAGATATAGATGAAAACAAAAGTAAATATAACCCTTAAATGCATGATGTTGCATTTATACATCAGTCTTTTCTTCTATACGCAATAGACTATTTTGAAAAAAAAAAATGTTTGTTTTTCCTTAATCTATGTTCAATTCACTACCCGTTTCAATTTATGGTATTTAAAAGAAAAAAATCATGCATTTAAGGGATAAAAATATACATTGTAAATATCAAATACTATAAATTCCTCATATTTGTTTCTTGTAAAACTGTATTATTTGTTATTTTAGTGTTATTTCTATGTATATCTATATTCTACATTTTAAATATTTTTTTATGTTCAGCTGTTCGTTATATATGAGGAAATTTAAACTAGTATTTGGTATAATTAGTATAATGATAATATTCAAAAATGGTTGTTTCATTAATCGGCTAAGTTTGATATCGATTATAACAATAATGTTTAGAGCTATATCGGAATAAATGTAACCTGTTAAAGCAATAATATAACATTCTTGCTCCATTTTGAAAAAACGAGTGAATAATTCCTTATAGATTGTTGCCTTTATATTGATTTAATAAAATCACTAAAGTATGCGATGAACGATCAAATTTGTTTGATCGAAGTATCAAATGTTTCAAATAGATAAAAACAAATGTAACATGTTTTGTAACTTCTGCTATCTCTTTTAAATCACTTGATGTTTTAGTTGATAAATTAAATTATGTTGTCTGTACACGGAATTCTTTTGGTTGATTTTTGGCTATACCATATCTATTGTTTTTGTATCATTAACTAGCAAATATTAAGAAAAATTGGACAAAAAATTTGATCGTTATCGCTTATGTGAAGTGAATTTTGTAACGGACACAATATTGCGAGAGTAATCGTATGGAATTGCTGTTAATACAAATCTACGGTAGCTTAGTATATTTTTGGATTTTATTCCTGTTAATAATTCTAACAACGAAGTATATTTATATGCACTTAGTAAGTTTTAGTATATTTTTAATAATAAAATCGTCGAAAACTGCCTAATTGTGGTTCTTAATGTTGGGCGATTGAAGACATTTTTCTTTGTAATTCTGTAGAGCTTGACCAGGAATATAAGAAATACTCGCGTTATTGCGAAAACATATGGAACCAAGTGTTTTATGCGTAAAAAAGGCGATTAAAACGCCCTTGTGGTAGGTTTTTAATATTCTCGATTATACCATAATTAGATTAGGTCTTGATTGTAAGGAGGTAATATATCTTTACTCAGAATTTTTAAAGAAAATGGTAAAAAACCTCAAAAACTCTTGCGGAGATTCCATTGGTCCAAAAATTCATTTAACTTCCAATAGTGTTTAAAAGATTTTTTAAATTCATAGTTTTTCATAATTTTTTAGCCACTTTCTTTTTAAAATATCACTCTATATAGATGTTTTCTAAGATTTTTCTTCTTAAACATCAATTATTTTGTCTCGACTTTGTGTTGATATATATTTTTAAAAAATACTCAATGTTATCCTGGAACTCAACATTTTTTTTAAAGTTAATTTTGAATTAATTTGTATCTAATGAAATTATTATTTTATTAATTAGTGTTATTTAAACAATTTGAATGATTCGATTCCTCTCGCTGAGGAATCTGAAAGAATCGGATTTATTTTTATTTATTTCAAGTTGTGACTAATTATAATTTCGTCTTTATTTATGTATTTAATTTCATTCATATCGATAAGAATAATATCGCTGTTTAAGAATTTTATTTACTCGTACATCTCTATTTAGAGTATTTAATAGTTTTGTTGATTTTATATAGAAAAGTATAGAATTCTTATATTAATAATTTTTTTTCTTGTGTCTTATTTTTAAAGGGATAGTATACGCACATGTAATTATTGTAAATACTTTGTGTAATTCGTCCAATAGATGTACCATCGGAAAGCATTTATTTTAAACCAAGAATCTCTGTGTAATTTTTTTTTATGATTTTTTTAACTGTGCCAAATTGAATCACTTTTTAACCAATTCTATCATTCCAATAGACAGAAATAAATCGCAAATGAGAAATTATTTGGACTGAATTTTAAACAGTGTTTTATTTTGTGGTTACCCTAACACTCTTCGATTTCAGACTTAAAACGCTCGAAGGTAAAATGAACATTTAGCTTAAGTTATAAGTTTAATATGTAGGGTTAAAATAAAAGAAAAAAATCAACATAATTATCTATTAAACTTAACATTTTACTTAATTAAATCTGCTAAAACTAATATCCTATAACTATACTGCACATACGCATTGTAGAAATATTTACTTTATAAATTCTTGATATTAAAATAGCACTAAAACGTGCTTTCCTTCATAAATATAAAACGGATAACGAATTACCGAAAATAATAATTTGTTTTAGCTGCTTAGATTTATAAATATAAATTTTTTGTGATACTGGTAATTTGACAAATCGTAATTAAACAAAAAAAAACTTAAATGGCAGTGACAAAAACCCATATTTACATCGACATAAAATAATACAATTTCAGACAAAAAATGCACACAAAATGACTAACAGAATCCTGCAACTGAATTACCGAAGGCTCGACTTGAGATCAATAAAACCCTGGACGATTATGAATAAAAATTTTGATAAATCGATTATTTTGTATAAAAATATCGATTTCTATTCAGCGTCAAGTAAGGACGGTTATTAAAGCTTTATCTACCATTTAGCCAATGGCTAGTTAGAAATGAAAATAGTAAATATATATATCATTCGAAAAAATACAAAAAAATAATAAACTACTATAGGCGTCGCCAGCCGATTAACTAGGCTAGTCTAGGGATATCTACCATATGGCAACACTCATATTTCAATCATATTCATTTAAGGCAAGAAGTATCTTTGCAGAGGAAACGTGTATGGCCGTCTTTAAAAAGATAGGAAATATGCAATTACCAAACTATAGTGTACCATCTTTTTACCACATCTCTTATATGAGGATGGTGGTCAAACACTAATTTTATTCTTTAAAAAATGCCTTGACGAAAATCGATGTTTCTGATCATCGATTTAAACAAATCGATTAAAATATTCATAATCGTCACGTATGTTTAATCTTTGGAAAGCTTGAGGCGCTCTCGCGGCTGTGGTCCCTGCGTGACGTCACCCGCGTGACGTCACTCGTGCGGCAAGTCCTCCTGCAGCAGCCAGCTCTCGTTCTCCGCCCGCGCCAGCTGCTTCTTCAGGGTGCAGTATAGCTTAAGTAACGAGTCCTGGAAATTTCATTATATTCATATCATAAACTTTAAATTTAGTAAACATAGAGAAATTTAATTAAACCCAGACATTCATTATAGAGACAAATAGTTTTGGTTCGGAATTTCTAAGCCAGTAAATTATATAGCTCTGCCCGGTTCACACTTGGCCAGTATAGATGGACCATCACGACGTCCAGTTCACGCTTCACACTGTACCAGTTGCTTGGCAGGCCAGTTATAGTGCGTTACTGGCCCAGTCTGAACGCGCCTTATATCTAATGGTTCTACATAACTATCATATTTGACTGTTTTTTAAATTTTTTAAAAATTGACGTAAATTATGTACATTTTTTCCTTATTCTGTAGCGTTGCAGTTACATGTATGGCAGTTACGGCATTCATACTTAAAAATCGCGAGGCCATTCTGATCAGAGTACTTGTAGTAAAAAATATGTTTTTACCTTCTCATTTTCAAGTTGTATGACCTCTCTCTTCTGTCGAAGTTCGTCAGAGTCCATATTTTCCTCCAGCTCCGACTTGTGGTTGCTCAGGTACGCCAGCTCCGTCTGCGTCTGAAAACAACAAACCACGCATTCGCTACAATCAGTTCAAGAATTTCTAGTACAGATGTTTTCTTAATAGTAAGAAATGAAATATCACATTTTCTATATACTAAAGACCAAAACATTTTAGTTCATAACATAATTAATTTATTGAATAGCATGACAACAAACTGAATATACAAATACTAGGAAAACGCATTCATACAGAAATATTGTAATTTCAGTTTTACAGAGAGATCTATATAAACACACAAACATTTACAGCCTTAAAAATAAACGCGTTATAAAGTTAAACTTAGGAATAAACTGAGTATAAGCAAATATTAGTACAAATTTTACTTGTACTCAGTTTATTTCTAAGTTAGACAGCTCACCTAACCGTGAATTAAAAAACCATTAAGAGACATAAAACTCACTTTAAGGTATTCCTGTGCGAGTTGCTTGTGCTCCTCGAAGATCCGCTTGGACTCCTCGTTGTTGAGGTCCGGGGAGATGGGCCGCAGGTGCGGGTCCAGCATCATGTGCATAGAGTCCAGGTCGGGGTCAGGTGCGGGCGGCGCGGCGCCTTCGGCCGGCGTAGACCCGCTACTGTTACCTAAAAAAAAATCTTATGGTTAATATTAAAAATTAGAAAGTCAGAATGATTTTTTGTGTATGAAATTGCGACGTACAATAAGACTATTCATGCATAAACGGAAAAATATTCAACTTTTACGTACACCTGTAACGTGAATAGGAAGGTACTATATTATGTTCGTTTTTATACAATCGACATAAGAACAAAAGTTTCAACATGTAAAGAAATTATCAAATAAGTTATAAAATTATCACAGAGTTTAATTGTTTTGATCAAATGTTTGTTTATGTTTTCTATTCGCGGACAAGTTTTACTCAGACACATATTTGTATTTTGGTTAAACACTGTATTGTATATAGCAAGTGTAACGAAGACATCTTGATAGTATGCGGGTATATATTTAAATAAGCGATAACCATTGCGATGTTTGGACAGACTCAAAGAATTAGTCGCAGTACCATCACAGGGTTAACTACGTCAAGAGTTAATTTTACTTCGGGTTGCTGATGTCAGACGCTTCACCTAGATTTCTACTTTCAACGTACGTTTCCTTTACACGCAAATAGATGGCGGCAGTGTACGTAAACTAGACACTACTTCAGTCCTTCGCGATGCCAGTGTTAATTTTTGTGTTTAGACGTTACACTACAACAATGTGATACCACATTAACACAACTTTAGTTAAATCAAAAGGATAAAATAGAAACACAAATGTTTACGGAAACTGAACGATCGCTATTGGATCACGATTGATGTCGGATGCGGAAGCGCGCGCCGGAGGACAGGGATGACGCAAACCACAACATAAACGAGGAGCGGGCTTCGCTTGTTCCAGAGGAGATGACGTCGAAGCCAAGTTTTCTCGAGGAGCACGAGACAGGGGGCGGTCGCCCCTAGCAACACTCACTGTAGAATATCCAACTACAGCTGACCGTGTCCCTGATGGTGGTGACGATGCCGGTGGTGTGGGGGTCGCGGCGGCGGGGGCGCGCGGGCGGCGCGGGCAGCGGGGGCATGGCGCGTGCGCTCGCGGGCACAGTGTGCAGAGCACTGGCGCTGGCGCGCACGCCGCCGCGCCCGCCCGCTAGAAATAATCAGCGGGAGAGCCGGGAGCGGGCGGTGCAACAAACAAACGGGCGCTATTCCCGGCGCGCTGAGTCAGCCGCGTCAGCGCGGGCTAAATGCGGATCCCGCGCGCCGCCCGCCGCCCGCCGCGCTGCCGCCCTTCGCGAGGCTCTCCGCGGCTGCGCCCGCATCGCCGCCGCGCCGCCCCGTCAGCCCGTTAGCCGTCGCACCGGGTCGACGACCCGCGCCCACCATTGCATGCATCCACTGACGGTCCCATGACTTCGTCAAATGCACCAATTTTCACCCAATTCAGAACCCTCAAAAGGTATTTCAAATAAATGACGAATACAAAGAAAGCAGCTCGACGTCACGCCGTGTTTCATAATTTCTCAACGATACGAGTATAAACGAGAAAGATATTTTACACAACCTTGAACCATAATCACACCGAAGTATGTTACTCACTTTCATATTTATCTGCATAAGACAAATAGTAAGGTAAGAACGGTAAACATTTATATGCAACGCATTATACGAGGGGTATAAATAAAACATCTGAGTGCAAAAATAGTACGTGAGTATTGTTATCACGATCACATGGTCTCAGTCGTAAGTCGGTGTGGTCGCGTGGCTGTGGATGCCTATGGAATGGGTCGCCGGTCGCCGCCCAGACGATTGTAGTATGGCAGCCAGCCCTTTTGTAATTCGCGCGTGCACCGCCCAAAAGTGCAGTGTGCAAAAACAACATCCTATGTAAACGCGTTGCTCACTCGACATGTGACAGGAGGCGGCGACAGCTATCCTACAAAACATTTGAGTGTAGCAATAATAATGGTGCACTATATAATGCTGCCAGCGATGTTTCTCTTCAACACCTCAACAATCAACAATGTAATTAGTTGCATAAAAGTATTATTTTAAACGAGGAACTCACCACTTCAGTAAACTTCATGCAAATTACTTTTGCAGATTTGCAAAGAGAAGAGTGCGCTAGCGGTCGATAACTGGACTGACATTTAACTGGTATATTGTAAACACTAACTGGCGCCGGTGAGTCCATACAATCTATGCCTGGGCTGCGTTACTGTTTAACTATACTAGCCAATTGTGAACCAGGCATAAACGATATCCTTTAGCCCAACAAATCTACGCTAAGGAAACCGTGAAATACCGAGCGTGGAATTAATTAACGTTAATTAGAACTAGACTGTAACAAGGTGAATAAAAATGGATTACTGATGAAGCAAGCTCGTCATCGCCGGTGTAATTAATCAAACGGTAGCCGACAAGAGTCTGTGCGAGCGGCGACAGATCGCATCAGCGCTCGCTGGAGGATGAGTAATGAAAGCCACATTTTACGACGCAAACTTTGATGAACCATAAAATGTAAACCGGGAAACTGTAAATTTAATGCGTATTTTAATCTTACTCGTGGTATCTAACGTTGAATTAGATTAAAAGTGTTGAAACATCGATTAGAAATACAAACAAAAATATTTGTTACATATTCTTTGACTTCACTTCTTTCCATCACACAGAGTACTGTGGACTTCGGGAAGCCTTAGCCCCTTACTATTATTACATATTCTTTGGGTGCCATCTCTTTATCATTGTTTTAATTGGGGGGTGGAAGCTCGTAGCGGCATCACAGTCACCCAGTTATTCTACAGATACGCCGATTCGTCTCAATCAAAGCCTAATGGAAATAAATATTTATTTATTGAACTTACTATAAAAATGAAGATGTGAACATCTTTTTCTTATAAGTGTTTTGAATTCAAGAAGTTAGAAGTTTAACATGTTGTGCAGAGTACTTGTTACCAAAGCCTATGGGAGACCGCGTGTCGTATATTGGTGTGGCGAGGTTATAAATCAAGAGACGAGTAAAGCTCTCTTTGATCGGTGGCATTAATATGTTTTCGATTCAGCGTCGAGACGTGGCACAGGCTGCGGCTTGCGTCACATGCCACACCTCGGGGATTTGATCTGCAGTCTGATATCTGTCGATATTAATTTGACGACATAAACCATTGCGCAGTTTCAGATTGTGGCTAGTTTCTGAGAAAAAACTAGATCTGACTATATTAACGACCAAAGAAAGCATTTATAATAAACATGAGAATACTCTATCAATCTAGATTTCGACTTGTTGGTTACACCTAATATTATGACGTCATTAATGGTTCTCAATAGTGATATACCACTTTGTCTTATGTTTTCGTGATCGCTCACAAACAAATGAATGTCAGCGAATTTATTTCATTCAGACAGGTATAATTGGGTAAGATTGAGATTCCTCTGTTAGTTCGGTGCCAAAAATCTACACAATATCCTGACACGTTGCTTTGCGTCGCATTCGCCGGCTGACAGATGTACTTTAGCATTTAAAAAAATCATGATTCACCAGACTCTTTCATTGGATACGGAAATATCGGTACGAAATTAATCGTCCTTGGACGCGACGTAAATGTGAAAATATAAGGGACAATAATATACGCGCAATAAATCGTCGTGAAAAGTGGAACGGGCGTATAGTTGTTTGACAAAATATATAATTTTGTTGGTTTTTTGGAGCAGTGATGACATTTAATATAAAATTATGGTCGTGTTCTTTTTCACATATGTTTTATATATCATTTTTATGTCATCATGAACATAAATTTGTATCAATTTGTATTAAACATGTGTCCATCAATACGATCATTTATAGTAATATTATTCTCACAGGGAAAAAACAAAACAGTTAGTGATAGCGTGGCGATATTTAGTAGATATTGTAAAGAGGGCAGTTTACAATTCCGTGCCAACTTCTACGGCGAAATCGGAACTGGGGCAGTCGTCGTTAATGTGCTATAATATACATGATCGTAGCCAGATCACATCAAAGAATTGGGAATAGGGGATACGAAGCAGCAGCATTGATCAGGACAGCCGGTGACGCGAGCCGTTTGCTACAGTTACACAGAATTTATCGATTAGTCGTTAAATTTATAAAGCCCAATTAGCATTGGTGTTTATGTTCCATTGGGAAATAGCGCCTAACGAAGGCTGAGAACGTGTTAGATACTAAAATATAGAACGTTCACTATGGACATCTAGAATGGTAGTGGCTTACACAAGTAGCATAGTATTTATATTTTGCTATTGTTAATCAAATAATTTACGCATCATTACAACACGTAAAAAAAACAAAGATCTATCTAACATAGTTAATGTATCATCATATTCCATTGTTACGCAGATATAGGTATATTATTGGACATATTAACCTAAATAATTAGAATAGTCATTGAATAAAGAGATTTCATACAGGCAAGCATTTGATAATACCAATATCAATGTAATGCATCCTTTCATGGATAAAATAAAATTGCAAAGTCAAATTCAAAATAAATACTAGCTAAGATAAACAACATTATATTCTCAAACATTTTTTAAATTGAAAAGGAAACAGTTGAAGCTAAAGAAATTTAAATAACCGTATTTAAAGAAAGCCATGAGGAAAACTATAGCTCATCTCATGTAGATTCCAGGAAGGGCGCCGGTTCGTACAATTTTGTGTCAGAAATTGTTTGGAGAGAAGTCATCAAAATTATGTGAATTCCTTAGCGAATATTTGGTACATTTATGTGCTTAAATTCTCTGAACAAGGAAAACCTACAGGATATTTCATCGAAACTTGGGATAAAAAGCACATCGCGCTTTAAATTATCCCTGTTTCCTTTAGGTAGCGCAAATCATTTTTTAACAAAAATAATTGACGAAAGAAGTTCTGAATAACAACATTCTATCATAAAAACAATGGCTAACTTCAAGTTAGATATTGTTCTAGAAATACATTTATTATAATGGAATCAATGACCAGTAAATCTTTATATTTCGCTTGAAATCATATCGATATCTATTTGCATTTTATATACAAACTAGATTTCGCTCGCGACTCCGTCCGA